CATCCACTGTTTGTGACTCACACAGTGTAACAAAAAGGACTTTTCTAAAAGCCAAGACGACTTCGGAATTTAGATCTGATCATTGTGATTTATATTTGAAGTGACAGTTTATGAAAAGATGAGCGGGTGGCCACAAAAACGGGAAGATTATTTCTTCAAAAGTGACAAGAGTGACAAGAGCTTAATATGAGTGTCAGTGTGGAAAGTTGTGTCTATATGTGGCCCTGAGATTGCTGTGAGATTGAAACGTTAGAACAGGGGTGTCAAAACAATCATAACATAATTACCTAAATATTTTCCGGAACATGAAGTGTTTGTGTATTTTGCTTTATTTAATTATTATTTTAAAAAAAGCATCAAGTGGGCCGGACTAAAACCCCAAGCTAGTTTGGCCCGCGGCCCATAAGTTTGACACCCCTGCTTTAGGGGGTAAACATGGAACTGCTACAATCAGCTTTAGCTTAGCCCCCATAAACTTAAAAAGCATTGGGTCGTAGAAGATGGTTGAATGAAGTGTCAGGAGTCTAAAATAGCTTCTCCTTCATGGCACTTCCTTCAGTGTTAAAAAAAATGGATGCAATCATTTTTCAGTGACAGAGCTGCTGTGCCGCATCATTAGTTTTTCCTTTCCCCTTTCTCTCTCTCTCTCTCTCTGGAAGCTGAACTCGACTCAGGTTGTCTCAGGTTTCTCAGCCCACAGTGTAAACGGTCAGATCTCTGGCTTGCGTTGCATAATGACTTAATAGGAGCAATTAGTCCAGTGTTTGTGTTTCTTCTGCCTTTTCCTCCGACTCTAGAGCTCAACAGGTGACATGGAAACTCTGAGGCATCGGGGAGTTCGAGAAAAGAAAGGTTAAAGTCACTGAAGTTTACACTGGGGACCAACTGGAAACTGTCCGAGTGATTATAGGTTGAGAGTCCAGCCTAAAAATGTCTTTTCAATTTCATTATTTGCTGTAAGAAATGTCCACAGGAAGTCAATTAAAGCCTGTTTCACGGCCCGTTACCAATTTACCAGGATAGAATTGAGGTGCAAGTGCTGGTAAACAACAACACAGCAGTGAAGTGTTAACCAAAAAGACGACACGGTTGTGAAAACTGTACAAAAAAACAATCAACTCGCATATAACAAAAATGTGTACTAATGCATTTTTCTTTTTACCCTTGGGTCTATGTAAAAACATGAAGCACAAAAAGGTGACTGTGATAACAAGGAGCTCATTTTTAAATTGGAGACTGAATGAAAATGTAAAAAAGTAAAAAGCCTTTTATGGTGTTGACACTATTTTTTGTGACGGAATAGATTTTTTTCTTCTTACCTCTCCTGACATGTCTGGAGCCAGAGGGATGAGCGGCCACAGCGAGGAATAAATAATGAAGAAAACCACCCACAGACCAATGCTGCCCCATATGGCAATGTGACTGAACTGCATGGGAAGAAGCAGACAAATCGAAGGGTTAAGATTTTACATTTTTCACATCATATTACCTTTTCCAAAATGTACACCATGAAACTGTTGTTGCATCCACATACCACTATACCGCTAAAATAAACATACACTGTAGGAGTGGATGAAGAACCAGAGTACGATGGAAGAATCACCAACTCACCATAGTCCACGATGAAGTTTCAAGACCAGCTTTTAGACAAACTGTGATGACGACGAACTGTTAAGAAACAAGTCATCAGAACATTTAATGAGTCTTCCTTTAAACAAAACATCAACGTAAACAGAAAGTAAACAGTAACAGAAGTCTGTATTTTCATTCAATACTACATTAACACAAGTCTGTATTTTCATTCAATACTACATAGAAAATAATCTCCGGTAAAAAAAACATCCATGGAAAAAAAAAGGTCATATTTATTCAGAAATGATAAATTTCCCTAAACTCCCACATTTAAAATGCAAAACAGTTGCTGCTAAAATGATTGGTGTTACTCACTGTGTAAACCATGTTGCCTAAGAGCAGATAGTCGGGGGTTCTGCCGTTGCCAAAGACTGTATCTGTGGAGGAAATCAATAATGACAGCTTTTAGACGCTGAGGCTTTATCTGTGAGACTTCTCACTCTCACTCCCACTGGCTGATCCAAAGTCAAAGCAAAACGTCAAACGCAGAGATTCATTTCACTGTATCTCAGTGTGAACTCTGGCTATTCGAGTCCCTGTTGGAGAGCCAGCTTTACACGCAAAGATGTGGGGAAAAAAAGAGTGAAATTTACATTTAAAAAAGTGGTCAAAAATCACATCGTGATCAAAATCAGAATATAATACTCACTAAAAGAAGGAGAAGGTTGAGTGAAAATAAGTTAAATGTAATCCTCAAATTGTGAAAAATTAACATGTTTTTACTACAGCGAAATTAGAATTTGAGAAGCTAATGCTAAACAACAATCAACCCTTTTTAAGTTGTCTTTTCAGATGTTTTTGAAACAATGATCACTAACCCCCAGCTATTGTCAGGCTTCTAGAGTCTTACTAAATTGTATTATTTTTGCTCAGTGCCAATTAACTTCCAACTGGTCTCATGTGTATTGTGAGCACTGAGGCTTCACTGACAGCCTGTCACTCACAGCGCAGGGACTCGCTGCCTTTTGTCTGGAGAGCAGGCCTGAGCTTGTGTGGTCCTCTGCTCCGTCCAGCCTGCACTTTTAAAAAGATCCCCTCTATACGTGTTCACACCCAGACCAACCCTCCGTCTCAGTGTTTATGAACTCCCAAAAGTATGGGGAAATTCAGCGGGTTAGAAAGCTAAAGACTGAGAAAAACAAACATTTTGGGTTTAAAAAAATGTTTCTTTAATATGGAAAATATGTAATACCAGGCTAAACATTAGCTATTTTGATGTGTTGGCTAACCTTAAGCTAGTAGTTGGCTACGAGCTTAACTTTTGACTATTTGAAGACTTTTAGCCATCTTTATAGGGTTATAGCATTTGAAGACTAACTTTTAGCCATCTTTATAGGGTTATAGTTAAGGGTCAAATGTTGCTGCTTAGTTTTAGCAATTGCCCAGTTTACTTTTGGTTATCAATTTTTAAATAATTTGTAGTTGCTGTTGGTTAGCTAATTATCGTTTGACTAGCTTTGGGAAATATTTCATTGTTGCTACATGTCTGGCTAACTTTTAGTCATCCGTGAGTTAGCTTTTAGTTAGGTAGGTAAAATCTTTGAACTTTTTCTCCAAATCTTTGTTTTTTGTGTATTATTGGTTTAATTATCTTAAGTCTATTTTTATGTTCAAGCTAAACAAAAAGACAGAAATTAAAAAACGACTGTTAAATGGTTATTTCTTTACTAAATATTTTGTTAAAATGACAACAATTTTAGTTTTTTCAGTGAATTTTAGAACTGTTTTCCTGCTAAACAAAAAGCACTCGAGCAGGTTGCTGTGCAGACCTGCAGTAAAGCAAACCCAAAAACGTGCTTGTTAGTGTACATCCTTCTTCTCTGGAGCACACACATGGTTGTGATTGCGCGTGTGGACGGTTGAAGACAGAACTAATTAAGACAAAGTACGTGTGCGTCTGAACGTCCTGACTCTCCATCAGCCTCTGGGAGCTACTCACCGTGTCGGAAGGCCTGAAGAGGGAACCAGAAGAGAATGACAGAATGGAAGAGGCCGTTCAGACAATGGGCCCAGAAGACCTGTAAGGGGAAAAAAAGGAGTGGGAAAAGGATGGAGAGGAAGGAGGAGGAAAGGGAGGGGTGAGAGGGGGAGGAGGTTGGAGGCAGCAGATTCCGAGAAAAAGGAGAGAGAGAAAGAAAGAAAAAGTATTAGAAAGGGTGTGTGGGGAGCTGCAGTCTTCCCACTGACCCCTGACCGGGGCCCTTTGTGCCATCCCAGTGCAGGGCTAAGTGGTGGTTTTGTTGGGGGCCCCCTGGCTGAATGCCCCCCCTGCTGACAGACACGCTGTATATCCTCTGTGTGTGTCATGGGGGAGAGAAGCTGCTGAGAGTGAGGAGCAGCAGTAAGAGCCCTGAGAAACATAGCAGCATACAGGTGGAACTAAGTTTTTTTTTTTAGATATAACGTCACGCTTTAAATAAAAGAGAGTGAAAGGTCATAGCAGTGTCTATTCACCGTTTCTATATTTTTGAGCCAGCTAAAATAAAATAAAAAATAACAAAACACTCAAGAGGGCAAGAGAAATCAATCACCATCAATCATTCAAACCAACAACAGTGATTTTTTTTTAACCAAACAAGATATTATGGTTTTAAACTTTTAGAAAATTGTTTTGTATGTATTTGTTTTTCTTAGGCATTTTTGCTTTTCTAAACTAAAGGAAAATGTACTACCAAGAAGAACAAACTTATTTCTACAGCGAGAAACAGAAATGGGAAATAAAAGCAAAAATGAGGTACACTGTGAGTATCTGCAGGAAATGTAATGTATGTTAGCCACTAAAACAGAGACTGTTAAGGAAAAAAAAAAAGCTGGACCCAAAACAACATCCAGGTTTTCAAACGCTGACATCAAGACAGAAATGGAAACGTTGACTAAGGAATCTGGAAAGTTGGGTCAACTTTTCTTTTTGACAAGACGCACTTTACATCACATTTACTGGACCTGAAGGCAGTGAAGGGGCTCAAATTGCATTCTTTGTTACTAAAGCGTTGATGGTGATATTTGATGGTTCAATGTAGCTTACAACAACTAGGAAAAGGCAGGGCGTCACTCTTAGAACATTTTAAAATAAGTGGTTCTTTCAAATGAATGAGTTTGTAGAAATAAAAAAAAAATCTCTCCGTTATGCGCACGCATCTCAGGGGGAGACTGGCAGGTCTGACAGAGATTAAACACTTTCTGTGGTCATTATTACAGGCCTGGAAATAGTGCTGTGGTCCACACCGAGTTCTGCTTCACTGTGCTGTGTGTCTGAGAACATGCAGACTGTTCGAGCAGCCTCTTAAATCAATCCTCCCACTCCGAAAACCACTGTGTTTCATATTTACATTATGCAACGGCGGAGCCAAAGCAAACACTAAAGGGCGATGTAGCATGAAAGAGCCGTGAAATCCATTCTGCCAGAGACCTAGCCTGCTCCGCACCGCTGCTGCCCTCCTTCCTGCTGCGTGCTGCTGACCCAGACGCTGCTGTTAATTCTGACAGAACTCAATTTAATGACTGTCGGAGGAAAATTTAGAAAAACTCAACACATTTTAATCTTCACACACTGCGCGCACTCACAGACCTGGCAGAGGGAAATAGGGCCTTTCAACAACTTCAGCAGACCTGTCATCAAAACATAAACCAGGACCGATGTCAGACAATCGAGATGCTCAGACACCTGAAAAGTTAATTTACGGCCAACTTCTCTTCTTGTGAGGTTCTTAAGGAGACCCAACACTCTAACTTCCCAACCACTCTCTGGGCTTCGCTTTTGGAATCGGATGACTTCTTCTTTCCCCTGTATATGATTCATGTGTAGGCCTGAGTGTCTGTGTGTCCATATTTAACACGTAGTGCTTCAGATGGAAATACTTCCTTTCACAAAGACAGAGCTGCCTTTATGTCGTCTTTAATAATTAACATAACCGGCTGTTCAAAATGTGAACCCCTGGGTTTGTTGTCAACCATGATTTCTTTATCCTTTTAGTAGGTGGATTTCGGCTGAAGCATTAGCTGTGTGCTAACGTGCTAATGGCTGAAGCATTAGCTGTGTGCTAACGTACACGAAAAGTACATGCCCCCAGGGCAGTGTTTCCCAAACTTTTTTCTGGGGACCCGCATTTAGAAGTCCTAAACCATCGCGCCCCAAGTCAATAGACATTATGCGCAAAATCCTGGGAAACATGATGCGAGACGACCCAAAAAAAAACAAAACAAATGCTTGCGACCCACCTGAGGGTCGCGACCCAGTCTTTGGGAAACAATGCTCTAGTGCAGACGTCCTAGAAGGTGAATAACTTGATTTTTGCAAGTCTGAGCTCACATACTGTACATATGAACCTATGTGACTCACCCATGCTAACACAGTGGTAACATCATAATGTAGGCCATAAAAACATCAGAAGAGTCTGACTTACCCCTGGCAGCCATAATGAAGGGCAAAAAGGTCCCCCAAAAAAACCAACAAAAACGAAAGAAAGTGAATGTAGCACAATCCACCGTAGATGCTAAAAATGCTGTTGAATTACCACTATCTTAAAAAAAACAACACACTCGCTGCTAGCTGATGCTATAACTACTCAGACAGTTCAAACTTTTAATTTTGCCCCCACACCTACGTACTAGAAAACACGTACCAGGGCATGAGAACCTAGTACCAGTCAGAGTACTGTTTAAGCCATACATATTGATTAATAAACTCTGAACATTAACAATGGACCCCGTCTCAGCGGGCTGACCTCCTCACCTCCTCTACAGACCAAACAAAGTCCTGCAGCAGTCGACCCCCACCCTCAGGATTACCTCACCCACTCACTGTGTACACAAAACCCAATACACAGAGGCAGGGTGGGGAGGGAGGAGCAGCCCGCAGCAGAATAACAACTCGTCTGCTCTGACTCAAACCTCCACATAATTATCACTAATGTTACAATCACACCTTTATGCCAATTAACCCCCCACTGACCAACTCAGCCCCTCATCAGCCTCCTCCTCCCCCCTCCCCTTCAACAACTACACCACCCAAATCTCTGCAGCCATGCCGTGATGTTGTCTCCCTCGGACAACAGGTTCTAATGAAATCAATAAATGTTCACAATCATTTGTTACAGTATGATCCTTCCTCTCACCCTGCAGCCACCCTGCCCCCCCCCTCTCGTATCCCAGCCAGTTGCTAAGGATCCCGTTTTCGATGAATACCCACTCTGTCTCTTTGCGGGTCTCCCTAATTGCCAAAGAAGAAAGAAAAACATCCACGAAAGCCAGCAATTAATATCAAGGCAAACATTTCCAGCTCTGCTCACCACCTTCTGTGTCTGTCTGAAGAAGAAATGTGAGGAAAAAGCGTAGGTTTGAGAGGTTAGTGCTGGTTAGCGTCTGTAAATAATGTGACCACAGAGAGGGAAGTGTGGTTCAGGAGAGTTTCAGAACTCAAGTGTCAGGAATTTAAACTTTAAACAAGGACCAAACACCTAATGCCAAGTCCCATTTAAGTACTTTCCAAATGTTTCCAACACCCTGTTAGCTCCATCACTCTAAAAGGTTCAATGTCTCCTTGGACTGAAGCATTATTGTTATTATTATTATTGTAATATCCTGGCGTTATTATTAGTCAATGTCTTTTTTTTCTCCAACTTTTTCATAACGCTTTTGTGATGACATTAGGGCAGAGGTTCCCAAAATTTCCCATGTCATGGACCCCAAATAGCTTCTGGCTGGAGACCCCCCATTTCAAACCCACAGACAATGCTACAAAATATGTAAAGAAACATCAACTTTTAGAAGGTATTTTCTTATTTTATTCCCTCTTCAAGAATTAATTTTATAAACTAATGCCAAATGCTATTGTCTTAAGACATAAGACAGCTAGTTAGCTGAGGAGCAGAGTCGCTTAATAAAAAATTAAATAAGTAATAAAATTAAAAACAGAAAACTATTGAATTCTTTTTTCTTATCTTTTCCTCCTCCTAGCGCCCCCTGGCAGCCCACACTGCACTAAAGCATAATTTCCAAATGCATCATTAAAGTGAGCATCACGTAATTTAGATTCCATATTGCTGTAGTCTGCAGGTCTGCAGCTCCAGTTTTGTTTGGCCTGGAGTGTGACCTGCTCTGTCTGGTGCCACAGACTTTGTTTGTTAGTTTTCCCCCGCTGCTAATAAAGACGTCTGCTCTTTTCCTCCAGGAGGAGCTGGAGACTCCTGGACCCTCCTCACAGGCGTGGTGACCCAGTGAGGGCAGCATGGAAATGGATTAAAGATGGATTGGCCGTGGCGCTCCGGGGCAGAGGAGGTCAGATAATTTGGGAGGAAGCAGCAGAGAGAATCGTAAAGAAAGGACAGAACAGAGAGAGTGTGTTCTGTTATTGTGTTTCGGGGTTTGCAGAAAATTGTGCAATTTGTTTAAGTGTGAAGCTCTTTTGTTGTCAGGCGGACTCTGTCAGATCGATTTTAAGGCACATCAGAGCAGACTGACTGTCACAGACCACGGTCAAGTTTCTCTCATTATCATCCGAACCTGTGAAGCAGTAAAGGTTTCATCTTTAACTTTTAATAAGAAAAGTATTTATTTTTCACATTCTCTAAAAAACTGTGAAAATGAGTCAAGGCTCTAAGATAAAAGCAGAAATTCGCAGAGACTAAAGTATAAACTGAACTTGAAAAATTGGTTTTCTACATTCTCAGTTTAGGTTCTCTCTATCTCTATCTATCTATCTACCTATACATCCATCCATCCATCCAGCATCTATCCAGTATCAAAATAAAATAAAACTCAAAATGCTGTTGCATCCATCCAGTATCAAAATAAAATAAAATAAAACTCAAAATGCTGTTATTGTATGTTTTCTTAGTCAGAAACAGGACTGCACACGTTCAGTAACCTTAAGTTACAAAGGGTTTCTGTGAATCAGAAATATTTATCCTTACCGCTGCTCATTTCAACCGTGTGTTTGGTTGAATGTAAGGTTGTTTATTTCCCTAGTTATTCTCAATCTAAGTCATTATTAATTATTCCAAGCCAGAAAATACTTAAATTGAAGTATGCATTAGATATTTAGATGAAAATAAAGCTGGACTTTGTTTGGGCCAAATTTTCCAACAACCCTAAGTGATGAGTGGATCAGGTCAGCAGGTTCTTTTGTGTGGTTCAGATTATGCGAACTGAAGCTGTTTGTGGCGAGGTGAGAAAAGCAGAATGACTGAAGGGTGAGGCTTTAACATTCACGGGTTTCTAACAAACGGAGTCTGAGGCAGTGTAAGTGTACGTAGCCCTCAGTTCATATGTTGTGTTTTTAAGGTTGAAAATAAAATCGAGCTGGAATCGATTTTCATTTTTAATTATCAAAATAATAAAAACAATGTTGCAATTAAAATAGCTTAATATAACATTATTATTTTAACCTAATATAAAATATTAGGTTAAAATAATTTTAAAAAACATTTAATTGGCTTTAAATAAGTGTGATGTTACATTTTAACTTCCTTTGCCACTAACTTAACTTAATTGTAGAAGTCATAAACACAAGAAAATGTATTAAAGTTATTTCATTAATACCAATAACATGTAACGTATATTTAGAAGAAAATACCAACAACTGAAAAGAGATAACTCGAAAAAACATCTAAAAAACCTAGAGCAAAAGTAGGTAAAGTTAGATCAAGTTACATAGTTAGGTGAAGTCGCTCTGAAAAATAATCTAAAAAGCCTGCAAAACATAGTCACGCCTGTGTAAAAGCTGTGAATAACATCTTAGTTTTAGATAAATCCATGGAAACTGACCAAATATATGAGTGTTTGTTGACGTTAGACACCAGCTGAGTCGTGTAAAATTACCAGAGTAGCTGTTACCGATACTGATACTGTTCTGTACGAGTCTGATAATAAATCGTCTTTAGAAAAGCTGTTTGTACGGTTTATAAACAAGAACTAAAAGTCATGGAAACAGATTGAGTCAAGGCATACATATCACAGAAGATTGAGAAAGTGGTTATTTTGAACAAATGAGGATCTTTATGTGAGAACTAGCGCTGTCAAATGAATACAAATTTTAATCTGATTAATCACAGCTGTGGATTCATCCTGATCGAAATCTATCATCATTAATCACCATGAATCTGTTTAAATTAACAATGTTAAACATGACGACAAGATTAGTTGGGGTGTTTTTTTCTGGATACTGCTGGGACAGAAAGACAATTGTTTTGTTTTATCTGGATACTGCTGGGACAGAAAGACAAATAACAGCCGGTAGATGTTATATTTGTGACTGATTTAAAATAGGGAATCATTAATAAAGAGAAATGTCAAAAGAAATGTGCAAAAATACATGTTAAATATTTAAAGAGTTGTTGGAAGTTACTCCTCTAACTCTATGAAACTTTTTTCAGAAAGACACGACTTTCAAAACTTACTACTTATAGTTGAACTATTAACTACAGCTTAATGTGATACAATAGTCAGCCTGAGGATTAGCCAAAGCTACAATATGTAGCAAAGAGACAAAAAAAAGTGCTGCCAAATGCTTTCCACGAAATTGCTTATAGAGTTGCCTAAACTGAACATAAGAGAATTTAAACTTGCTTTACCTTGGTGTTGAAACCCATGGCATTCTGGGAGGTTTTGTACAGTTCGGGATATTTCAGCATATTCTCCTTCCTGCAGGAACGTTCGAATATTCCCAGAGTGAGAGGAGGGAGGGCTGTGAAGAGCTGGTGCACAAAAAACAAACACACAAAACAAAGGTAAACACACTTTTTATTATTACTAGATGGCTAATAAAGAGTGAATCTAATTTGTTGTTTTAATTCAGGCCTTTTCACATGCTAACTTTTAGCTCTTTCAGCTCAGTTATATCATTTTAGTAGTTGCATCTTAACTACTGTGTTTCATAAAGACATTAAAAGCCCCCATTATGGATATTTAGGAACAAATTCATATATTTCAAGTATATTTTACCTACAGTCCCCACTAATATCTGACTCTGCTCTACAGGATATGGATGGGTGTGTACGTGTGCGTGTCCATATCACTGCTCACATCTCCATATGTTACCATTTCTGGCTGTGTTTTTACTTTACTTTATCACTCAGGACCATTGACCTCTAAAACCCTTCAGGGTTGTTTTTTTTAATATTTTGATTTGTCACGCTTGGAGGCTGTTCATGTGCAAAAGTCATCTCCCACTGACATCTGCGATACTCCTGAGTGAGCAGCAGGTATTTAAAGGCTGCTGAAGTGTCATTTCTGAGGGCCGCTGCAACGTTTGGTAGAAGAGCAGCTGCTGAGAGAGTGGCCATTGTGTTGTGTTGCTGTGGTGAGGAGGGGATTGTGGGTAAAACGGTTTGGGTTTCCCTTTAGGTCCATCTGGAGTGGGAGTGGGAGTCTAAGGCTGACATGCTCCACTGGACTCCTTCCTCATTCAGAGGAAGATCTCCATTGAAGGGAGGATTCAGCTCAGCGCTTTCAACCGACTCCCTCTGAGAGGCTGGAATTCAGCAGGTTTATGGACAAAGTCAAAAACTGAAGAAACTTTTTTTTTTCAGTTTTCACCAAGTTCTACTGTATTGCCGGTGTGTTTAGGTGGTGGCTTTTTGTGTTGATCACTGAGCCTCAGATATGTTTGTCTCCCTCTGGCTGATTTATTTTACAAGAAAATAAAGCAGTCAAAAAACAAAACCACTGACCAAAAAGTGTACCTAGTTTAACTTTGGTTAATCAAACAAAATCTTAAATTATTAAATTATCTATATAAGAGTAGACAAAAATTTTAGGCAAGATAAATGGATATTAGTGAAGAAAAGAAACTACATTTTGAGTAAGTGTTTGCAAAGCAAAAAAAAAAAAAAAAAAAAAAAAGCAAACAAAACACACTCACACAAATGCATAGGTGGCAAAAAAGGGTCCAGTTAATACACAATACACATTTAGGAATAGAAAAGGTCAACTATAACTAGCCAAAAGCCACCCATGTAGTAGCTAAATGTTTCTAAGATTGCTACAATGAGGGAAAACAAATTTAGACGACAAATAAGTATTATCACAGGTTGAGTAGTTATAAGTTGCAGAGCAGTACCTGAAATTGAGCAAAAATAAACATAACTTCAATTTGGGATTAACCATGAATGTGGAAATCGACTTATGTATATCTGACTGGATTTGCTTAATCAAAATAATAAACACTTTTTAAACTTTTTTTTAAAGTACTTGACCAACGCCATGGATTTACATGCACTTTTCATCTCACTCGAACCGTGACAGATGTGAATTGTGTGTTCATTAGGAGTGTCCCTGTAATCGTACCCTGTGGGACTCCCTGCGTCAGCATCCATCTCAGTTCCTGTTCCACTCTTCGTGTTCTTTTTATCATTTAAACGTAGCAGCCTGTGCTAACTGCACCCTCTGGGGTGAGCTGCATTGCCACATGTTGATTTTGTACATTCAATACATCCTTCAGAGCACAGGGGGACGCAGGGCTGCACAACAGGTCATAAATAAAGTAGGGTCTTCTTTCAGGATGGCAATGACAGGCTCACACATTAAAGGTTTTTTTTTGTTCTAGTGCCACAAATCAGTGCTGTGTCAAAGGGAACCAGGGGTGGGGAGTATTTGGAAAATAAATCTGATGAACACTCACCACATTGTACAGGCCGATGCACCACCGTTCAAACAGAATCTGACCAGAGAAGCCATTGACAAAGGCAAACCAGATCTAGAATGACACAAAGAAGCAAATATTATGAGTTAGAAACACAGGAAAGTCTTGCCAGAAAATACAATCACATCTGTAGTTGTGAAATAGCAGTTACAATTGTTCAAATTCATTTTTTAAACTACAAATTCTTTGATAAAGTTACCAAATAAATATAAAAAAACCCAAAAGCTTTAGAAGATCTCTCTGTTGAAGGTTTGATTGTAAAAGGACTATTTGTGGCTGCTTATAATTCCTAACAACATTTTTTAGTAAAAATAACCCCAAAGAACATGTAACCTCCAAACTTCACATCAGGTGTAGTAGTGTCAGATTGATCTTTTAGTAAGAAAAAGGCTTCCGTTTTGCAGACTTTTCCAAATAAATGATTAACGATGAATGTTAAACTATTATCTTTTGCAGCTTTACTGATCAACTTTTCTCTTGTCCTCGCATTAAATTAAAAAAAAAGCGTCCACTCTGTCCACAAACTAACCATCTACTTTTCAGCTGCAGCACATTCTTCACTGCTTTAAAGATGGCCGACACTTCAAATAGAGGCGGCGGGATCCCAGTCTGACAGGGATAATCACACAAAGATGGGCTGTAGCTAATTCATCACTAACCCTAGTTCAAATGGTTAATTTTGGTAAACGTTTTTTTTTTCTCGTTACGTGAAGAATGTTAACTTGATTATCGTACAACTCTTTTTTTCACACTCCTTGAAGTACGCGTCTACAATCAACCGGCCGTTCTATCAATGCCATGTCTTTTGAACTTCTTAAATAAAACAAAATGGGTCAGACAAAAAACCCCACAGATGATTGTAGGAAATCCAAGATTCTATCAGAAAAAAAAAACCCACAGATGATTGTAGGAAATCCAAGACCCTCAGCATTTACTGATTTGATCACAGGTACGCCAAGCAGACATATATCTAGTCCACTGTTTTTCTTCATAATCTACCTGCAGACAGGACAGTGACAGACCAGGTTAGTTATTGAGGCAGTTGGGTCTGTGTGGGACTCTGAACAAAGGATTCTGTGATGTATTATGTCATTAAAAGCAGACAGGCGTAATATGAACCCTGCACTGGGCTGAGATTAGGGTTATCACTATATCTTGTTTGGTCATGCTTACCTGCAATGCAATATAATGTATGTGAGAAAACCAACAGGAAAATGGAAGCCTTTTGTGAAATCCAGTCAAATGGCTTCAGTGATTATGGACTATTTTGCATTGTGGAACGTTAGAAATGTATCCAGACAACATGGTGTCATACATGGAAAAGATACCAAGAATATTAATTCTTAAAGATGCCGTAAACTTGTTTCTTAGCATGAAAAAACTAGCAACAATATGAGGAATTAAGGTATGCGCATTTCTACGGAAAAAAAAAAACAAACAAACAAAAAAAATAAATAATTTTGAATTCAGGTTAGTAAAATACAATGAAATACATGGGGAAAAAAAATTTAAAAACGACAACGATTAACAACAGGACTTGGTTTTGCAGACACATCTCACTGAAACTTTGATTCTAAAGACCCTAAAATTCCAGATTCCTTTTTCTAAAGAGGCGCAGTGGAGTTAACCGGTGGTTCATCAAACCTTTGTCTTTAAAATTTAAAAAGTCTCCACTCTCAAAAACAACCCAAGGTTGATAACAAGATGACTGTTCGCTCTGAGCTGTGAAATAGCCCGCTCTTCTTTTTGCTTCATTTAACTTCATTATGAAGGCATGAACTGCCACAGACTCTCAGACTGGGACAAAGGCTGCTTTGGGGCCCAATCTGTCTCTGCCACTGTCTGCAGGGCCAACACCAATCTGCCAGTGGTCTTTAACATTTAAGCATATGCATGGGAAATAAATGTGTGTCAACCCCCCCCCCAACCCCTGTACCGTCCCCATCTGCTCTAATTCACTCAGCAATGGTGGACCTGCTGGTCATCTATAGTAATGTCCAATGTTTGCGAATGTGACACCAATCACAGACCAACCTTCATTCCATCAGACTCGGAAGAATGAACGGCACTAAAGACCAAAGAGATGATATTACTAGAATTGACCTTTAATTAATACACGGGGGCAGCATTATCCTTAGTTAAGTCACATGGTTTCAGGAACTACTTCCTGCAGTGGAAACTGATGCTTGTTGATTAACTTTGGGAGCCCTGGTTTCAGGTTTATGTAGGATGGACAGTCTATCTGTTGGAGTCTCTTAATAGTTTGAGGTGTTTTAGCTCTTGGTTTCTTGGGGAATACTTTCAGACACCGTTGCTATGGGTTAGAAGAAGCCCGCACCATGAGGCAGGTTCAACTTTTAATGTGGCAAGAGCAGTGGTAACGAGAGGCTAGCGGGTAGGTCAAACTGCTGAATTAATTACAGCTCTGTTCAACAAGAGGCTCCGAGCTCATATATTGTTGTGCTAAGTTAAAAAAGGCTCCTATTCATAGCATGTGGTAACTGCTTCTGTGTAAGTGTTTTGGCCTGGTCTTCAGGCTTCCCAATAGCTTCTCTTTCTCTCTTTCTCCTGCCCCTCTTCCATCTCTTGAGGGACAGATGCATTGATTTGCTCATTAGGGGAAGTACCCGGCAGGATTTTTCCTCTTCTTTTCTTCTCCTCATTGAGTGCCACTCAGCGCAGGGGTGTGGCTGGCCTCTCTCCCCGACTGCACATCATGAAAACCAGCAGTGGAGGGAAGCGTGAGCTCAGAAAAGAGGGATTGGGCAGCGGCTGGGCAAAGGGGAAAGACTTGTTGCATATTCATCAGCCGATAAAAAAAAAAAAAGAATCATTGATTTCAAGGCAGCTCTGTGGGTCTGGATTAGAAGTAGCAAAGGGGTGGATGGTGGTGTATGACACTTGATGAACCTGAATAAAAATCCTTTAACTCTAAAATTCAGCTTTGCATCTTCAACAAAAGGAAATCAAGCACAAATCTAAGAATGAAGACGAAGAATTAACAGTTAATAAAAAAATATGTGGAGCAGGAAACCCGAGCTGGTTACTGTAAGATGAAGAATTAACAGTTAATAAAAAAAAAAGATTTGAAATATCTGGAGCAGGAAACCCGAGCTGGTTACTGGTTACGAAGCCAGTCACAGAGCCCTCATTCATGGCGAGTAGCTTCACCCTAAGCCAATGTGAATGAGCTTTCATGTAATTGGCTCATAAATGCCACTTGTCCATCAGGCTCCCGTGTAACACTGTCACTCAAACACGAGTGGCCAGCTGGAGCGGTCATTCCAATTGTGTCACTGTGGAATGTTTTCGAGAAGACTCTCTTCTCTTGAATGTGGCTAAAACATTCACTTAAGAATAATGGACGCCCGAGTTACAAATAGAGATGCTGTCCAGGTGTGAGACAAGACCTAAGTGTGAAGAAAGTCTGTGAGTATTTACTGTAATGGCTAATGGGTTAGCCTTCTCTTCTCTTAGCCTAGGTCTCTTAGCCTTTTTGGCCTGTTTGGTCCAGTTCATAATAACAGGGACTATAAACTATATATATTGTGATTGGGCTCAGTGTCTTTTTTTAATCTTGGTCTAATAATCTAAGTCCAATATGCTTTGAAATCCTCGATCAAGAGAATTCAGTCTTAGTGTATGACCTAACATACGACTCCACTGACCACAACCTCGTACTTGCAAAGCTACTACATAAGCACTAGCTTTGCGGTGCTAACATGAGAAACAGCTAGCTGCACTCTGCTGCATGCATGCATGCAAAGTTGAATTGAAACAGTGGAACCTCTTGCCTCTGCTGCTACTCCGGGCTAACGTTCTTTGACTGGCACATGGTAAACACATGGACGCTCAGCCTTGGTCTATCTTCTGTCAAAACGTTCAGGACAGTTCACTTCATGCGGATGAAAAATGGAGCGTTCTTTGGATGTGCTTTTCAGTGCATCTTAGAAATGCCGACCGAAAAAGCTGCCATTCACACCTCACCACTGAATCAAAATGATCGTCTGATCGATTTCTAGAAACCTTAAACAATCACACATGTGTTATTCTCATCACTTCGTTCATTATATTTTAGTTGTAAAATCATTCACCCTTTCCCTAAGCCCAGTGTTCAACTCCTGAAACCCGAAGTGTGACTTGCACACTGTAAACGGCACAACGGGTTTGAAGTTCAAGTCAAAATTCCTGTCAAACATCCTCGATTGGAACCATGCAAGGTAACCAGGGAGTCTCTGAGAAAGACATGCACACACAAAAGTAAACCTATTAGTGTAACAAACACAGCTTGGACTCATAGCCCGCGGTGGCTCCCTTGTTACATGTCAGGGAGGAACAAAAACAGGGACATTTGAAATATTGCAGCAGCCAAACATCCAAGAAATGTCCCATTGAATCCCTTCAATCCCCTCAAGGAATGGAACAGGGAGGCAGGAGGGGGGGAGAAGTAATGTTTTCAAAGGGTAACAAAAGGTGTGTCAGATTGAAGCTCAGCCCGCAGACAGAACTATACATGTTCAAGTTCTAATAGCAGAGAAATATGTTTGAAAAGAAACCTGGTAGTTTTTTTTTTTTTAAGAATTACTGACCAGGTTTTGATGTGGTGTTTACAGTATGCAAAAGGTGGAAATACTAAGGATATAATAAACAGACACTTTTTTGTGTCATGACAGAAGAACCTCTGCAACATATTTAGGGTTTAAAATCTAGGACTGAAAGTAGTTTAAAGTGTTTTTGTTAGCATGCAGACCTAATATTACCTTTTCCCCGCAAGGAGTAGTTTTCACTTTGTATCTTTGATGTTAATTCTCTACTTTACACAGTGAAATTAGTAAAAAAGCAAAGCACATTTTAAAATGATACAACCTTGCAACTAAGGCTTTGCTTTTTCTTACCAAACCTTTAGCTTAGTTATATTACCACAACATCTGTAAATGTGTGAAAAAAACAAAAACAAATAACGTGTTCATTTGTTTAGGTTTTGCGACTTTCTTTTCCTCAAAGCTTTTTCATCGAACCTCTGGTACAAGGTACCTCAGGTTTTCTGAGAATAAAAAAAAAAACGGCAGCATGATCAAACAGCTGCAATACCTTTAACAGTTAGAGCTCGGAAAAAGATCAAGCTGCCTCTCTCACTTTGAGGTCATGATAAGGCATAAAGAGACGTGCTGGAATGTCAGCAGTTGCCCACCGATTATCCACAGCATATAAAGGAGAATGAGGACGTGGAAGGAGGAAGTGTCTGTGAAGTGTCACAGGCTGCAGATGAATAAAGCAGAATTATAAAGTGATGGTGCATCTCTGACAGGTTATGTGGTGATGATATTTTCAAACATGTGGTTGATCCTTTCTGGCGACTGCACTGCGAGGTCAGGGAACGCCGGCCAAAACAGGAGTCAGAGGACGGGCCTCCTGTAAATCACAATCTTTCTGTGTGTATTTGATCCCATGAGTATTTTTTTTAACCCGTCTCTAGTTATGACATTTTCAGCACATTTTCTAACCTTAGTTGTTTTACAAATAAATCAACCAGTCAGGTCTTTACATCTCTCACTGGTTGAAAAAATAGGCTGTGATACTGTATGTAGTAACGATTTTGAGGGTACGAAGTTTCTGTCTTGATCACATCCATAGTTAATAGTTGGTACTTCACAATATCTAAGGAGTACCGGTGATAGTAGCTTCTACTTATAGGAGGCACTCAGATCATTTTCATGACAATTACCTCAATGATGTAGAGGACGATGTTCTTGTAGAAGCAGTACAGGATACACTTGGCCACACGGTTGTAATTCCACGCTCCGTGGACGAGGAGCAGATTCTTCAGGTACTTGAACTGTGGGTGAAGGAAGTGAAGGGACAAAATGAATCAATAAAACCATGTCTTTGTCAACTGCGTTCGCTAATGGAATAAAACCTCAAATGTCTTTGTCAACTGCGTTCGCTAATGTTTCCTGAACTACACACACACACAAAATCATGAAACCATCCAGTGATTGAGGTATAAAGCAGTCGCAGGAACATCAAGATGAAGGCTAGCGGCGGGCCTTTTGTTGTCCTCCAGCAGAGGCTTTACAGACTGATGAGACATTCAGACCGAAGCTCTCGCTAACACATTCCAGAAATGTCTTGTCAAAAAGTAGTCAAGAGCGAGCTTTGAGCCGGGGAAAACGGAGGAGTTCGTAGGACTGCGCTGTTGCTCTCAGAGGACTCCAAATAATAGTTCAATTGCTTTGTAATTACAGCACCGTTTAGAGACTGTGGACAACTTACAATTTTGGGGGTAATTTCTAGCTGATAAGTGTGATTACAGTGGAAAAATCCACTCCCAGTGCTTCATCACGCCAGTCACTGAGTGACAAAAGCTACCTCCGACCATGCATCGGGCTGTGGAGGTCTACAGAAACCATCCAGCAGACTTAGCCACGACATAATGCCTCTATGCCAGCTCAAAAAAACCCCATAACCTTAGGTAAATCTTAGAATAAATTCATTAAAAAATAATAAATAAATTCATTTGAAAAACTTGATAGAAGAAGTTTGTCCCATATCCTTAGGTCTGGTTATCTTCTCTTTCAAAGCACAGCAGAAGCACTCAGTGCTGTCTGACCTTTGAAGCGGTCACTCAAACATCAGTTATCACTGAGCACAGCTGATGACAGATGGACAGCAGAGGTTCCTCAGTCCAGAGTCAAAGAGATCAATAGCTGATCTTTTTTTTTTTTTTATAAACACAATGACACATTGTGGTTTTTGATTGGTGTTTAAAATGAGGAAATTCATCTGACAAGTGAATCTGATTTAGCAGTAAATTACTAAACGCAAACAACACAGATATTGTATAAATCCATTAATAGTATAAACTAAAACATTTTTTGACTACATTTTGTTTGAAATTATATTAAAATTAAGCAAAAATCAACGCAAAAGTTGATTACGAAAGTTCTTACCAATAATAAATATAATAAAAAAATTCTCAAATGAGCATTGCCACTTCTGCAGGAACTTGGGGGAGCTGTTTAGCTCTATTGGCTACATAGGCTAGCAAAACAAACGCAGCGGTGCCACATCATGAATGAACACAACAATGCATTTTGCCAGAACAAAGAGTTCACCTGGTTCTCAACATCAACACAAACCACGTTAGAACCAAAAACGTTGCACAACGTCTCAGTTCTGCCTTCACTTTTCTCTCTGCAAATTACAGTAAATGTACCGTTACGCCAATCTATGGAAAACACGGCTGAAGGTCTGGAAGGTGTAATTTAATTTGATGCTGGGGACACAAGCTAAATGGATTATAAGAGGCCAGCTGTCTCTGGGAGACGTACATGTTCTTCATGTCCTGTGGATTAAAGAGGGCACTTAAGACAAATCTAAGTCTGCTGAATGGTAATTGGAGAGAGAGCTGTGTTCCTGCGCTCAAAAGAGCCCGTGGCTGTAATACAAACATGCTGTACTGAGTGGCCTGCTCGTCCGAAAGGTAACAGGAACTTTCTGTTACTCGCAGGTATCGCATGACACGACAAGATTTTAGACTAACTGGTAACCAGGGACATAAGTATGTTTTGAAGTAGCATTTTTCAGGGGTTTGTAGCTGTATAGTCGTGTGAGGAGTTAGGTGTCAGCCGCTGCCTGTTCTACAGGTGTTACTACTTCACTGTACAAGCTACTGCCCCGACAGATACAACAGCTTTTGTTACGCAGGACAATGTGGCAGAGTATCACTCTCACACTTTCACACATTACACTTGAGGAGACAAAGACACGTCTGACAATTGATGGAATCTGGCTGATGGCAGGGTAGGAATTGTCATCAGTTTCAAAGCTCGACATGTTCCGATGAGATTTAGATTTCATTAAGCATGCTAATGGGGATCGAACCCAAGATCTTCTGTGTAAGGCAGATGTGCAAGCAGGTGTGATAACACACTACGGAACCACAAAGATAAGAGATTCAGATTCTATCTTTATTTTTGGACTTGTCAGTAATAAGGGTTTTGATATTAGTAACCCTATTGCTGGCTAACATTTCTTTTTTAAAATTTTTGGCAAAAGTATGTCAGGAAAAACGTCATTTTTTTTCATTATAGTGTCATTTTTTTATGACCTGCTGTATTTTTTGGGATAAGTTTTATTAACTTTTTAAGTTGAGCTAAGCAATGTCTAAAAATATTTTGGCAATGAAGTCTTTGTAACTGGGTTTTTCATTAGCTAGGTTTTGAAAACAGTTGGCTAACATTAGCCATTTACTTATTTTTGTTGAAAAAGTTAACCCAAGACTTTGAATTTTCAGACACGTTTTAGCATTTGAGGCTACATTTCTCAATATCTATGTCTCTTTTTTTTGTATCTTATGTGTAAATTCTGCCCACCTGAGCGATGGAGTAGTCCGACGAGTTCGCCGCCTGCAGGCCTTCATTGCCTGAGATTCCCACTCCGACATGAGCCGTCTGGATCATCCCCACATCGTTAGCGCCGTCACCGATGGCCAGAGTAATGACCTTCACCTGCTTCTTGACCATCTCCACCACGTCCGACTTTTGAAGAGGAGACACTCTGGAACGAAGAGCAGGAGTACAAACCCAAGAATGAGCATTTATTTACCAGTATGAACAAAGTAAACAGCAGTGATGGGCAGGCGTAAACAAATCCCAAACTGTAACATCAGTAAAAAATATCAGCACATTTCTAATGTGCCGAGAAAAGGACGTTGAATGTGTAAGTAAGAAAACCAGACGCCGTGGCAGGTCACCTGGGCCTTTGCTGCCATTTGCACACAACGGTCCACCTTTGGAGAGCAGTAAGTCATTCTGAGCTGTTAAAGGTCTCCTGGTGACCATTACCATCCAAGCTCAGAGCTTTAAGGACAGTCAGTCTTAGGCCGACTGACGGCAGCCTTGTACAAAACTGTGCAAGGATTGGGCAGTTTGGAAAAGTTTACATTCAGTCAAGTAATTTTGAATTGTTCGTTTTGTACGATTATTAGAGTCCACAGTAACCACGCAAAAAACCCCAAAAACAAACAAACGAGGTGATGATGATCACTACCAATGCGTGAGAAAGGGGGAAAAACTCTGGTACCAAGGAGAGGTCTCATGGCAAGTGTTGAGAAAAGTACCACATCTGTCAGACTTGGGTTTCAAGATTTTTAAGCTCTATAGAAGAAACACAATGAAACAGCAACGCCGAACACAAAGGACACCGTACGCAACCAAGGAAACTAAATGGAGCAAACATGAGGCGAGCAGCTCCATCGGGTCCGAACTAGCAGAAACATATCTGATCCAAGAACACCTATACAGTATACTGTGCTACGAATTCTCGTTGGATGAGGTCTTAATAAGGACATTTCAGCCAAAAAAGCGAATACATACTTTAACATGGAAACAAAACCACATGACTCAACAAAGCACTAAAACACATTTGCAGAAAATGGCAACAGTTTAATTGGACAGAAAGGCGCCAAATATTTGCGTTAGCTCTCGATCCAGCTCTTCGTGACATGGCTTTTGCAGACTTCCTTTTTCTTCTTGTGTCCATAACCATTAGCAGTTATTTCAGTTTATTCTCTGTCCTGCTCAGCAGCAATGACTAACCAAAAGATGTATAGTTTAACTTCACTGTGGTAAAGACCTGCAACACTGGTGGTCTCCACTCCACTGGACTGAACGTGCCGCACTTCTGATGATTTAATGGTGTTTAAATTATAGACAATGACTGTTTGCGTGACACATGAAGGTTTAGAGTTGACACCGACTGATGTGAACTGTGACTTCTCACACTCAGACGGACAGTGTCCTCCTGGTACTACCCTTTTTATAGCGTCACTTTTCAAACTTTTCGAAACAAAGCCAGTTATTATGTTGGCTATGATAATGATGCTAACTTTTTAAAAATACAAACAGCGTTGGCGCTGGTCGTTGGTTGGGCGTCTTTCTAAGAAGACTGATAAGAACATGTCACAGTGATGTTAGGTGATGCTTACAGGTGATACTACCTGGACATCTGTAACCTTAAAAAATATTTAAGCATTACATCATTTGCATAATGACACAAACATTTTTTTTTTCATTTATAAAAAAGTAGTACATTTTTAAAAAGTATTTTTAACTAGACTAAATATAGTTCAAAACACTTAAAACCAAAGTAAAAATAAAATAAAAACAACCCCAGAAATCATTCCAGGAGGAATGAGAAATCTGCTGCCCAACACAGAGTAAACTATTTTAATCCCTCAATAAAGACTGTAAAACTTATACTTATCTCCAGAGACAATGTTGTGCAGTAAATTCCTGTAGTTAACAGTGTTACACTGACGTCTGAATGTAATCCTGCAGTAGAAAAAACCCATTGCATTAAGTCCTGTTGTGAAAAATAAGAGTTTTTGCTGGTATTCTAAAAAAAATATCAAATATGAATCTTAATTTTGTTCTTTTTATTTGGTCTAAAAAAGTCAGGAGTTTTCCTTCATAAAGTTATCTTTAAATCGATAACATCCATACTTGACCTTCTATTAGAAGGATTTATATTTGACTTATGTGCCAAAAATATTTTGTCAACATTTTTCTTTTGAATTTTGTCTTTCAGGTTTACTTTTGTGATTTTATTGTGGTATGAGAAATAAATCTGACCTGCAGCAAATGACAGCTTTACATGAGAGAGCCAGGTCCAGGAAGTACTGCCTCACACCGAACGACAGAGCGTATTTCAGAGTCTTTCCATCGATAATCAGAGCAAAGTCGTTCTCCTTGTAGAGGGCATCTCCCAGCATTCCACAGTGATGGCTCAGTAGTTCCCTGGTTCCCTGTGGGACAGAAAACAACTTGCGGTCATCCTTACATTTTACGCATAATTCCAAATGTTTAAAATGGTAAACTACATAGAGAATTTAGAATTTAAATAAAGATATTCACTTGATGTTATTTTATTCTAACTTTTTAACACAGTCTTGATCTGTTAAGTCTCAGATCTACCTTCATCTAATCTCTACGTGCTGCAGAGAGTCTGCTCTCTCTGCTCAGGAATTCAACGTTTTTATGACGTGTCTCAGGTTCATCACAATTCAAACCCCAAACATTGGATGAAAACGGAGACAATCTCCACAGAAGGATCAGTTTTTCTTCACATACATCACAGGCGTAGTTGTGACGATGACTGATGACGAAGGTCTATAAATAAGAGTCTGACAGGAGGATTTACTGTCCTGGTCCGTAGAGCTGACGAGTGAGGGGATGAAGCTGTGAGATCACCATTCTGTCCTCTTCTCCGCAGATGGAAAATACATCAGGAAATGAAACCTGTCTTTGGCCTGGAAGCTATTACTGCGCTATGATGTCAATGTCTTCAATGACGTACAAGGTACATATAACAACATCACCTGTTTTCTAATGTTTAGCACAGATATAATGTAGCACAGGTGAGCCCCGGGCTAACTGTGGCACCTGGGACGTAGTTCTGTTACCATTTTACAATTGGTGACATCTTTGAACTATTTGGCACAAAATCATATTGTTTCACTTTCGGCTACATATGAGCTACGTGGCTAAACATGTGTTACTTGTGCGTTAAATACAATCTTTCTTTCAAATGTTTTTGAATTAAGCTACATTTTATAGATAGATAGAACTTTATTAATGTTATGTATATATGTTAACATATCAATGTTATATGTTATATATTAATTTTTTTATTTTGATTTGGCAAAATGTAAAAACATAAGCCTGATTTGTTTATGCTAAATTTTGCTTCTGTAAGTGTTTTGTTCAAGCTGATAAGTCATACGTACGAGAAAGAACTTTCTGTCTGGGCCCCGATCTATTTATCACTGTGTGATAAGTGTAGTTTACCATTTCCTCTTCCTCCCCCTCATATTCCCACTGAGCCATTTTAGCCCTAATGCTACACATCTTCTCTTAAAAACTCTTTGTTATGGCTATGATGAGCGGCTGACGAGCTGGTGTTTAAGTCCTGGATCGGGAATGCAGCGTCCATTCAGAAATCCATAAGTGCTTCCCATAAAGACTGAGGTCCATTGTTGATATAGGCCCGAGTGAGTTGAGCCTCCAACAGGACGTCACAGTCATGATGTGGAATCTGGACATTTGTATGGGCGTAATGACAGCGACGGTCTGAGACTGGAGCAGATGTTCGCGCTTTCGCAGTCCTGACCTTCATCTCATTGGAAATACGATATCTTGACAGATCGTGAATAATAAAAACAATGTCCAGATAATTTGGTACCGGGCCGCAGTGGGACACACTAATTTACTTCATTCAAAGATAATCCAGCTATACCCATTTACTTTTTTCAGTCAAAGATAATCTGACAATGATGTCAAAACAACAGGTCATTCAGACTCTGATACTGACAGAATTACGTCTAAAAGATAAAAGATTTATTAAATGATCCTTCAAAGATGGCGCGGTATTGACGGCCGTACAGAAAATATGAGAATGATTGATTTCTCTTCAAATGTTGTTGTCCTTATGATTAATTTAGTTTTGTTCACCCAGTACGGTTAGTTTACTAAATGATTAAACAGACCAGGTGTGAATGAATTATAAATGAGTGAATTTTACCTCTGACCAAACACACAGACTGAGACCCTGGGAATTTAGTTGTGTAAGTGTAAGATTTAGTACCGGGGAATTTTTAAACCTTGTCCTCCCTTTGAAAAACGCAGCAGTGAAATAAAACATTCTCCACCTCCTCTGTGCGAAGCAAGAGAATTCTCAGAATTAACAAAGTATCATAATCAAAGAAACTGTTTTTTTTTTCTTTTCTTTTCTGTTCCTTTCCCCCTTTTTTTCCCTCCACCTTGAATGTTTTCTCTAACTTTCTCATGTAAACATCTGCTCTACCACAGGAGAATGAAAGCTGACATTTCAAAGCATCGCTTTATGTTCTCTACCAAGGCCCCCGCCCCAAAATTTTACCTCCACTTTATTTGTCAAGCTTAACCAGCGGATGACAGAGTGAAGCCCGTCCATCATCGACTCCTGATGCCCCCCACCCCGCCCCCCCTGCTGGATGTTTCCTCCTCTTCCCCCTTCCCTTCACTGCCTTCTCTCTTTTTTCCCCTTACAGACAAATTCGATGTTCTTCTCCATCTGTGGCTCCTTCTCTGGAGTAGAGTAGCAGGAACTCATGCCTTTCAATGTCAGAATCAACAGACAAGGCTCTCCTGGCGGGGGGTCAACCCGCGTCTCGGCTGGAGTTTTTTGGTTTAAAGGACTCCCTGTAGACTTTTCTTTTCGGTTTATAAACAGAGATTAGGAGAGGAGATGAGGGGATTTTATGGGTCAGAAAGGAGTGTGTGTGTGTGTGTGTGTGTGTATGTACTTACGATGAATGTACATTCACAGTTAGTTAACGTTAATCTTAAAGAAGTAAAACGTTGAAGTTGCTGAAAATTAGACATTATTACTGGAGGCAAGAGTTCTAGTAGTAAAATCTAACAAATGGGCTTTAATTTGCTTTGTTGTTGCTAACATAGCAAAACTATAAGATTACACCCACTGATTGAGTTGGTCAAAAACTGGTCAAATCATCTTTGTCCTCTACGATAGTCTATACTATTAAGATATAAAACGTTTTGTCCTCAATTATTCTCCAAGCCTTAACATAAACGGGTTGTAAGCAGTTCAAAAAAGATTTGAAATGTTGAAAAAGTACTCACATCAAGAGTGTCTTCATTGAGGACCAGCATGCCCATGTTCTTGGTCAGCAGTTTGCAGGAATGACCTACAGATAGGACAGAGTAGAAGGTCAGATGAAGGTGACTAAACACATAACTATCATAACCAGGAAATTACAGCTTTGTGGTGTGAGTTGGTTTAACTAAAAACAGACACGTTACTGTTACGTACAGTAATATGCAAGAATTTCAGGCAGATTCACTTCATCTCTTTTAATTCCCCTCTCTTTAATCATGAATTTCAGAGTTTACTTTTATGCGCCGTCTTTAGCTCTGTAGCCCTGGAAGCTGTCATCGTCAGGCACAGGAAATAAGCCATCTACCCTGGCTGACCAGGTCCAGGAGTGTGGCTGCTCAGCAGAGCAGAGCACAGATCACGGTCAGTGACCGCGCAGCTCCGCCTGCAGTCCCAACATGGGTGTTATGTTGTCTTTCCTGCAGTTTAACCCAGTTGAGAATGAGCTCTCCTAACCATGTGTTGGAATGTTTTGTTTTTGCTATTAAAGGAGTGGTTAGACATACCAAGGTAATCACATGAAACATGGGATGCAGCATCGAAGCCTACAACTTCAAGGCAGCTCGACTCAACGTCTCTAAATCTACGATTCCTGCTATGTCTGTTCTCCAAAAGAAAACCAAACCTCCGATAAATACCGGTTGTGGCCATGTCATGGTTCAGGGCTGTTTCTATTTAAGCTAAAACTGGGCCATTCATTTCTTCAGCTATTTTCCTGAAAAGAAGAAAAGTAGCACCACGTTTCAGCAACTTGAAGCATTCATCTTAAGGAAAAAACATGTTGAAAGTATATTAAAAAATGTATCAAGACTTCATAAACAAAGGAAAGAAAAAGTATTTTTTTTGGGGGGGGGATAGAAAAAAACAAAAGAATAGTAAAAGGTCACAGTAATTGATTGTAATGAAAAGGTTCCAGCTGGGAGCCAAAGTTGCGGGACATGACTAATGACTGCGGTGTTGCCTGCGTTTGTCAGTTTCCTGTTTTAATAAGGGACTTGCAACTGTGTATTGGCCAACACGGCTCCCTGGGGAGCGTTCCATTCAGCTCAGAGCCGGGACAGATGCGGAGGGTCACCACAGAGGTGCTGGAGTTAGCTTCTCATCAGGGAAAAGAAAAATGTTTCACAAAGCGAGAAACAAAGCCTTCCCTTTTGAAAGTTGAGGTGGAAAAAAAAACTAAACAATAAACTGGAATGTTGGTGTGTACTTTGGACCAGGAGAGACCTTTGACATTTTCCATGTCAAGCTTTTTCAGCACCTTAGTGTTTTGATTCATTACAGTCGCTCAAAACATGCTCACACTTTAACAGGTTTTTTTTTAAAAGCATAATTCGTTTTAGAAGGTGTATAAAACATTAAAATACTTAGAAATAAAATATTTTAGATTTTTTTACAATAAAAAATTTCCACATGTTCATGTTAATTTAATTAAGTATTCATCAGAGTCAATGTTATTGAATGTTACAAAATTCTAAACTGTAAAAAAATTTCTATTATTTGTTCTTTTTTTTTTAATATAAGTGACATGCTTTCTGACACTGCAGCATTTTGTGAAAGTCCTGGTAATGCAGGTACATTCTCTAACGTTGGGAACATGTTTTTCCAGCATTTGCTTAGTACCTCATCCAACAGCTAACACAAAATTTTAAGTTCTCTCCAGGATAGTTTTATGACAGAAAATGATGAGCATGACTTCTTAAAGCCTTCAACTGTTAATTGAATACACAGTTAAAATGCTGGTGGAACAGGAGCAACATTCAAAGCACACACACCCTTGCCTATGCTTTAAGAGGTAGCCTGTGAACGGGGAAGTCGACAGCTTTTCATCCACCTCCCCCAGACTCAAAGACCAACAGCATCCAGGTCTGGCTTCTACCAGATTGTTTTCTTTACTGCAAAGGTGCAAAAGTCCCCAAAAAATTCTGTATGTGGAAAATGTCTGACAATCCTAAACACTGGCCTCTTGTGGATTCTGACCACAGCCCCTTTCTCTTATTGTGTTTACCTTAAACTCATTTAACTTCAACCGAGCTGCTGCGGCCGTTGCAGCCCCCTGCTCTAATTTCATCAGAGGAAGTTTAATTCCTGGCCTTTTTCCATGAGAGACAGAACTAAAAAACACTGCCCCCTAAGGAAATGAGGAATGTGGAACAGCAACACTTATGTCACAGCTTTTCTAGGATGTTGTGGCAAAACTTTTTAGTCCCATATGGGACGTAAAAATAGGTCATGGGTTTGGCTCGTTTTTAACCATCGAACTTCACAGAACGCGTGCATTAAAACTTCTTCCTCTGGCCTTTTGATGATGCCAAACGCCACAGTCAGTGAATCAGGTGTACGGTTTAAAATCATCATCCTTTTCCATCTGAGCCTGAACCATGACGTTTTTGTGCTAAGCGGGCGGCCACGCCTCTGCAGAAATAAACACATTTGTTGAAGGGAAAAAGTGAAAGTGTGCAAACACATCATCGCTGTGTCAGTAACAGGCGATGAGCTGTGAACCAGGACGTGTGGATGCATAATAATACGAAGACAATCTGTCTGTATAAAACTCTGGTTTATACCAGGTTCATTCAGGTAACGTTGTTTTAGGCAGTTCTAAAATATGTTTTGTGTAACTTTAAAGTGAATTAAACCAAGGTTTTGGCTGACTACCTTTTACCAAATATCAGCTAACTGTGCTATTCGCAGCCAATTTTTAGATTACTATTTCTACCCTACTACACTGTATTTAAAATTAATTTTATCTACTAGTAAATAACTTTTCTAAGTAGAGACCGCTCTCAATATAGATTTTTCACCTCTGATATGATATGTGATATGATACCTCAAGATTTCTCCTCATTTTAACCACTGTATTTTTAGCTTAGCTATACTTAAAAAATACGAAATTACGAATGTGAGCATATCAAGCTAGTAAATTCTTTTATGGTATTTTTCTGTATAATTTTGCAATTCACAATATACCTTTTATGACAAAGGTAAAAATAAATAAAAAAGCTGGGTGAGGACTGTTTGATCAGAACAACGGTTCAGTTCAAATGCCCTGTCCTGCTCTAACTATGGTTCTACTCGCCCTGTCCTGTCCTGCTCTAACTATGGTTCTACTTCACACATGTACAACACTGGGTGACCTTGGACCAGGTTTTGTTTGTTAGCAGCGGAGTTGTTTTTTAATTTTGCCTTAAGACAGAAACACAGCTATAATGTGCCTGATTAAACCTAATTTCTGAGACCACAGTCCCACAGGTGTTCAGCTTTGTAAACAACAAGGATATTAAATGAAATTGCCAAATTCAAAACACATTTTTCCCGTTCAAACAGTCAACGCAGAGCGTTCCCTGATAAAACAGCTTGTACACAACATGTGTACGGCTCTGAGGAGGGTTTAAGGAGACGATGGATCCTCGGGCCAAAAATTTTCCACACTGATTATTTGTGTGCTTCCCATATGTTCTACCTCCTGAGAAGTCAGGGCTTGAACACGTTCAGCAGCGGGCTCTGTCCTTTCATTCAGTTCTGGCTCAAACGCTGAGCTGAAACATGACGTACCGTACGCACACCTCCCCTCCACAAACAGCTCACAGCAGAGGGAGCAGTTCCAGGAACAAACGGGGCTCTTTCCTCACGCTGCCAGACGCTGCGTGTCCTGAGCAGTGACTCCACATTATGTCATGACGGGATAAAACAATAACAATCCTCAGGCTTCATCTTTACAAACCGTAAATACATCATCTGATACGTGACGCGGTCTGTGCCAACTACAGCATCTGGGTGGCTCGGCCCACCTGGGAATTTTTTTCAAATACTTTATGGTTAATTCGCCAATTCCTTTGTCACAAAAAGTGAATCATTACGTGTGAAAACTAAGAGATCGGATTCCAGTGAGGGAAATAGTAAAAGCAGAGTCAATGTTCAAGAGGAATTTTACTCAGAGTGACTCAGTAAAAGGCGGACTTATAAAAATACTTCAGAGGTGCTCACAAAGATCTGATTCAGTCTGGACATAGTGGTGGGTATGAACCGCAAAGAAAATAGCAAAAAAAAAAGAAAATAATGTTTAAAATTCCACTATACACAACGCAGCTTCATATTAATCTAGCTGCATTCAACATCATTAAGCCCCAAAAAGATAAAGACCTCGAGGTTTCAAAAAGAAAAACGTCCTTCAGCTCTCAGCTAACATCTGCAGGTAAAGGCCTCCAGGGGGAGCAGATATGTGATCCGAGCCTGCCCGCGTACATATGCATGTTATTTATTTCACGTCAGAGCAGTTAGCTCGTACATCATCCGCGGCAGACGCTTTTAGCACAAGCGGGTGACAGAGAAGCATTCACAGTGTCCACGGTTTGTCTCACAGCGTGAAGAAATAAATGAGCGCGGCTCTGACTGGAAACACCTGAGAGCAGCTTCTGTACGATTTATCTCCCATCACAGATCAGCTAACTCTGTGACTTCTCATCTGCTGTCAGAACCGAGGAGAGACCGCATTCAAATGCGAGCCAACAGAAGTCTTTGCATAAGAAATACTTGTTTTTTCAACCCCCAATATGAGAGGTGACGAGTGCCAAGTATCTTTCTTCCTAATAAAATGCTTCCTGTTAATAAAACTGTTTTATTACACACGGTCGAATACCAAGAATATCATCATCCAAGTGGTCTGCTTATGTTTGTTTAGCATACCGCTATGGCAAGCGCTTCACCACGAGTGCTAATATCAACAAAATAACACATGAGATCTAGAGGTAAACATATTCTTCAGTCCAACATATACAGTGAAAGAAACTCCTTAACTGGGACAATCACAGTCCAATGAAGTTGTCTAAATACTGTAGACTTTGATGTGAATGATATAGTACTGAGGGAGTCTAAAACTTTTACTATTTTTTTTTCCTTTCTGTTGCTCTAAGTTGGCTTTAATGTGTAAAGTTGACATGTCAGACTAAAATACACTTTCTCGCATGGAAGATTTGACTTTAGGTTAGCAATTGGCTAACAGTGTTGTTTATACAACACCTTAGGATAATTATTATTTTTTAATTTATATAAAAATCACATTTTTGTCTGATATTATTATTTGAATTAGCTGAACTATTTTGGAATCCGATTGCGGCCAAGTTGGACAGTTGGACGGACCATATTGGGCCCGGGGGCCACCAGTTTATGATTACTGCTCTAAATGGTTCTCACCAAACCAGGTTAGGTAGCAAAGATTTTAATGGTTTGTTGACTTTCTTTTGAAAGGGTTTGTTTTATAACAAACATTAGGGAAGAAACACCATGCTCCACAGTATTCTCTCTGTTCCCACTCACCAATATTGATGGCTGTTTCCTGTTTGTCTCCAGTCAGGATCCAGATCTTGATGTCGGCCTTCATCAGGGTTTCTATCGTCTCTGGAACTTTGTCCTGGAGCTTGTCCTCGATGGCCGTGGCCCCCAGGAGTTGCAGGTTCTACACCAGAGAGAGAGAGAGAGAGAGAGAGAGACAAAAACACAGTGACATCAAAGTGAGTGATGATGATCATAACAGAGGAAGGTCTTTAAAATGTCATGTGAGTCAATCAGTCAAGCACATTTTTCCCTCATTGGCTGCTCGTCTTTATCACCTAGAAAAAAACCCACCACAGGCTTTGAAGCTTTAAAGTGCACAGAGACACACATACACAAATCATTTATGCATGTGCATGTGTGTATGTGAGGACAAATTTCTCCCACAAAATAGGGCTGGTGTTTTTCCCAGGAAACCAGTGGTGGTTAGCTGGGGTTGGTTTGTGGTCTCAGATTGGCCTCAACACAGGAGAGAAGGTTTGACGAGACCCAGGGGTGTGGAGGAGGGAGAAGTCGGGAGCAGAGGAAACGTAGAGAAGCAGAGGAGAAGCTCTTAATGTCCGTAAGGGTTTCTTTACATATTTACGAAGAATCGACACACCTTCTGTTTTAGGTTTCACTGATTTGTAGCGGATTATTCATTATTTTCTCCAGAATTCGTAGATACATTAACTAAATCCTTGTAGCAACTTCCTGAGTCATCAGATATGCCCCAGCAACCTTTACCAATTTATCAGCAAAGTTCTATTCATTATCTTCTCCAGAATTCCTAGATGCATTAACCAAATCCTCACAGCAACTTCCTGAGTCATCATATATGCCACACCAACCTTTACCAATTTATCAGCAAAGTTCGAGGTCCGAGGCCGTGCAACACAGTTCGCCAAGATGGTTTGAAACCATGTGTCATCGTTGAGAAATTGAAAAGAATTTGGAAAATGCAAAAACTGTATTTTACAAGTCCTCTGAACTTTCACTTGATACGTTACTTTACCAAATAATTCACCTGCTACACACTAGTGTGCCACAGGAGATCATTAGGTGTGCTGCAAAAAAATATCCAATGTCCCAAAACTAGTATATATTGCAAATAATTTTTCTTTGTTTGTCAAAGAGCAGTGAAATTCTGTTCCACTAGGTGGCAGCAGATGGTTATTAAAACTAAGAAAAGATTATCAGAGCTGTTGAAGAAGATCTTTGTGAGTGTCTTTCTTCAATTCCTGTCAGTATATTAGCATTGTCTTCAGATTAACAGGAGTATGTTAATCTGATGTTATGCATTGGTATGTTGACTTCGTTTTTACAACTGAACATCTTTATACTTCTTCGTCTGGTTTTAAAATTCATCCATTTTTGTCGCAACATCACAAGATCACAAAAGTTTGCTGGAGGAACGGATTCCCCCCCCCCGTTGTTTCTTGCCTCCATTCCTGATCTTCACTCCTTTTTTTTGTCTTCCTTCCTGTGTTATCTGCAGTTAGTAACATTTTTTTTGTTCTTTCTAATGTTAGGGTTGATAAAGTCAGATTGTTTAAGGACAATATAAAGCCTTTTTACTTCCATTTTCTCTTGCTTGTCATGTTTTGGCAAATGATATACACCAATAGATGTCATTTAGGATCTGGATCTACCTGACAAATGCATATACATATGAATTTGTTTTTATCCATTATTCATCTTGGAGCATAAGAGGCCCTCTAACCTTGAACAAATAACTTCTTTTGATAAGTAAACACTTCCTCGAGCAGTTGACAAGCAGACACTGCACAGAGAATAGTCGTATCACTTTACCAGTGATTTATGACGGGGCTTTCAATGTTATTCAGCATTTGATAATATTAAAAAAATGTTCCTGAGGGTCAACTGCTCCTCCTGTGACACTAATGACTGCGATAAGGTTTCGGGAAAATGTGCATAGAAAATCTTTTTGTTTATATAGTGATGGAAATCAATCCAAGACAACCAGTTTTAAACAGATTAATACAGAGCGTTGCCATGGCTACGTACCCTGTTATACAAACACAATAATTAGGTAAGTGAAAGGTAACTTTCTATTTGAGTTTATCAATATTGAGATTAAATCATTTCAAAACTGCCTAAAAAATATTAAACATATATATATATATAAACCTAGTCCTACAAAACTTAATCCATTTACCTGCAAAAAGTAAAAACCAGATACGATCTCATGCTCTAAATCTATTTAGGATTCTTAGTAAAGGATGATAACATTTAAATAAAAAATACAAAGATATTGTACATGGTGTCTACAAGGAGAGGGATTAAATGAAAATAAAGATTCTAAGATTAGAAATTTGGTTTTAGTAATGTAGTATGATTTGTTGTAGAAGCTTTTTTTACTCTACACATTGGTTTATTAATTGGTATTCATAACCGGAATATTCTTCTAATTAATCATTACACATTATTTACTATTTGTTACCACCATTATGAAACAACTACGAACCTCTGGACACATAAATATTTCTCTACATTCCCTGACTGTTTCTTAAAATTGGAGTGATCCTACAGCAGTCGAGTAATTCCCTTCGGAGATCATAAAGCGGAGAACTGATTTTTCTACTACGACTCTTTAGTGCCCCCATGTGGTAAAAGAGTGTAATTGGTAAAAAGCCAGCAGTAAAGTGTCAGTGCACAGACCTCTTTAAAACCACTCTGTTGTCTTACGTATGATTTGGAGGCAGCCCACGGAGTGACCTAATGAAATAAACCAGGTACTTACCCATATTAGTAAAGAAAACCCGAGAAGTGCAGTACATGTTCAAATGCAGCTGCATGTTCTGTTATCCAAGAATATTATAAAGCAAAGTAGATCAAAATTCCAACTAGCACCTACTCTGCTCTAATTTGTTATATGGGTTTTCACAATGTCCAATCCACTGAGCCAAATGTGTTTTTCATGAATTTTGGGTTACACAAATATAATGGACTAGACTCGGCCATATTTCTAAGAACGTCTGTGAACGAACCTTTTCGATCAACTCGTAGCTCTCCTCCATTTTCAGGGCTCGGTTCTGCAGTGAGGTGCTGGCTCTGTGGTAAATCTCCTGCCACTGCTGATAGGACGACTCACTGATGTCAGCCACGGCAAAGCACAGAGTCCTCAGTCCTGGGTGAAGACCAACACATGACATCCACAAAGGGATGGAAGAGGAACAGCACTTTTGTTAGTGTGAGTAAAAAAAAAAAAAAAAAAAGGCTGGGCTGTAAGAAACTTAAACTTTCCTTTTATAGATGATGGATTTTTACACTATATATAGAGGGATTTTTTTTTTTTTTACACTTAGTTCAACCTGAAATTAAGCGTGAACATGATTTACAGCCAATTCCGAGGAACTGAGAGAATTTTTTTTTTTTTTACACTAAGCTCTTCCAGTAATAGCCCGATTTAAAATGACGTCATTTAGCCAGTGCCTCAGCAGGGGACAGTAAAGACACAGAAAACAGAGCAGACACACAAGAGCACGTTCTCTCAAATCCAAAGTTAGTATTTACTCAGTGAGTTTATTCAGCCACACCTCAAGATGTTGGTAAATGCTGCGTGAAACTTCTGCGTCACTTTGAAGGTTAAAGACTAAATACTAGCAGAGTACTTGGTACAACTTAGGCCAAAGGGGGGCAATGTTGAGCTACTTACCCTCGGTAGCGAACTGCTCCAGGTGCTTGAGTGTGATCTCCTTGTACCTGGAGCTGTCGGCCAGACGATCATAGATCACCGTGTCCTGAGGAGAAACACACGCTCATTGATTTCTGCCAAAGTACAGACGCTGCGGAAATACAGCTGCAGTTTATTTACAATCTTCGGTACTGACTGGTACCAGAAGTGATTTTATTCATGTTGACAGTTAGTATCTTTAAGGTGCTAGTATGATTTATCCACATTGGCATGTCCATTTAAATTACAAAAAAATATTAATAAAGATTTTGGTAAACAAGACAATATAATCCAAATCCTAATCTATGAGACATGGCCACAGCTTGGCCTCATGGTCAATTATTACATTAAGACTGAATTCACTTGATATAAGTTTCTGTCTATAAGTATACATAGTGATGATGGCTGTGATAGTGATCTCATTGCAGTGATAATGATAATAAGAATGACAGTGATGTACGGTGATAATGCTATAGATGTAACGTAGATGGTAATGGTTAGACTGGAAACAATGATGTCGATGGCGGTGGTGGTAATAATAGTGATGACATTGGTGGTGATGATGATGATCACGGTCGGTTAATGTGTTGTGTTGCCACGGAGACAGACGGACAGACACTCACAGCTCCTTTACAGTAGAGACGGATCTTCCCAGAAGGAGTTCTCATGATGACTGACATCCTCTTCCTCACACTGAGAGATAGGGAGGAAAAAGAAATGAAGCAAGTGAGGGGAGAGGGGTGACATCACATTACAAGTCATTTAGGTGCTATAACAAATTATCACATGACTACGTTTGGATCAGGAGGTGGGGAACGAACGCTTGCACTTGAGTCTCACTAAAAATGTAATCAAAATCACAAGGCTAGGGATCATCGTAGGACTGTGTAACATTTCAAAAATGTACATTATAGATAGATAGACAAACAAAGCAAAGATATTTTATGTTAGAGCAGATAAATATTTAAAATGTGTACTTTATTTACAGCAGTTTTAAGCACCTTTAGCGGAGTACTTCTTTAATTTTCAAGCACCTTAAACTAATTATAAACCTAAAAGCTGAGTATTATACATACAATTAGACCAAAATGAGCCACCAAAATTTGAAGAATATATCAACACATGAAAAAAAAAAGAATGAGTTACATAGTCTGTTTTTTAACTTGTGTCAGTGAGTCACACTCAAAACCAACGGTGCGTGATCAGCAGTTAAATGTTTGTGTCCATTTCTTAAGTGCAATAGACAGAGTAAATAAATATAAACACTGATTAAAATTAACATAATCTATGGAACACAATATTAAAATATTAAATGTGTACCTTGTGAACTCTAGCACATGAAGAAGTCTGTACTTCTCCTCTGTTCCCAGCTTGGGGGAAAAAAAAAATGACACAGTAAATAAATATAAATACTGATTAGAATTAACATAATCTATGGAAAAAACAACAATATTAAAATATTAAATGTGTACCTTGTGAACTCTAGCACATGAAGAAGTCTGTACTTCTCCTCTGTTCCCAGCTTGGGGGAAAAAAAAAAGAGACAAGAAAAATTTAAAATTCACAGTAGAAAATATCAATTCTCTCAGATAACTTTGTCCAATTGTTTTGCAATTCATTTATAAATAAACAAAGGTTTACAATGAGGGAAAAGGATTTAAAATGTTGAAGGACCGTATTCTCAGTTTATGAAAAAGGACAGGAAGGGCCCAGCGTGGGGTAACGTAAATAAAAACTCAGAGTTTCAATCAGCCCTGATTGAAACTTTAATATGTTTTTCAGTTTCAGTTTCGCTGAACTAATGCGGGAACCATAACAAGACAATTCAATTAACATATCACAGAAGAAGAAGGCTGAGGATTTAATGGTTGCTGGGATATTCTTTGAGGAGAGGAAATAAAAGGAGAGGAGCTTTTTCTCAGGAGAAAGAACAGTGAAACAGAGTGAGTTTTCCTCTCTTAGATTAATGTGCATTAATCAGGTGAATCCATCACAATAAGAACATAATGAGCTTTATCGTTTTTCCCATCACTGTGGGCTTTGTGACTAATAACAGCCGAGTTTTCTCTGTTCAGTCATTTTAATTTGCGCTCGGGAAAAATCCAAAGAAAATATGAACAACTGTAAAGAAATAAGCCGAGCATCGTCCGAGCTCTAACATGGAGGGAATTTTTATTTTTATTTTTTGTGAGTATGTCTGAAGTTGGTGTCTAACTACAGCAGAGTATGTGTCCAAACATTTAGTATAAAGGTATGGAGCATCTATTAATCAAAACATCCAAACTCACTATTTCCACAAAGACACTGTCAGGAGTTCTTCCAGAAAACACAAATCCCAGGTTCCTCGCTGCTCTCACCAGAGCTCCTTCATCTGGAAATCAACCACATTTGTACGTGAATGTCATTTACAGACATACCGTCGTGTATGTCTAACTCTAACTGCGGTGATGTGAATGTCATTTACAGACATACCGTGTATGTCTAACTCTAACTGCGGTGAGACGTACCTGGCGATGCGGCCTGGTAGCTGATTTTTCCCTCCGTTCTTTCAGGGACTGCGGTGTGACAGATGGCCATCATGGTCATGAACTCCAGGATGACAGCAGCGGTGGGCTACAGCAGAACAGAAGGCACTTTGACTTGAACTCTCCTCAGAAGAATACAGTGGAAGTAGAAGAAGTAGAGTTACACCGATATCACTTTTTTTACAGACTGACTGCAAGTACTAGTACTTGGATTTGAGAACATTTTGATACAGACATTTGGGGAAAAGATGTTTATGTGTTGATGCTGTCTGTTTAGAGACCTGCCTAATGGTTAGCATGTAATGTGAGGAACCAAAGAGCTCGAATCGCAGCCTGGGCAGGAGATGTACGCAGCAAAATGTCTCATGTGGCCAGTACAAAGTTGATATAATTTAATATTCTTACACGGAGAGGGGTTCAGGTTTAAAATAGAACGACAGAGAACGAAGGAGGAAGAGAAAAAAAAAAGACCTGACCATGATGGAAGATATTAAATAAATCAGTTCATAACAGCTCAGCAGCCCTGCAGCTGAACATTAATCTGGTGTAATCACATGAAGAAATCAGCAGGTGGGTGTATGTACAGTCATGTGTTTTCACATATGAGGTTTTTTTCCCCACAGAGGCCCATAATTCAATCATGTTAAAAAAGCCAAACAGCGCCATTTGTGGAACATATGACTATAATTACATTTCATTAGAAATGCACTGAGTTTAGATATTTTTTAAAACAAATCTGGTTGTGTACTGTTTTATTAAAATAGCTTCAAGTTAGCACAGAGCTGCTAAAAAAAAACTAATACACATAGCTAAAAAAATATGAAAAATTCAAAATCTGCCATCAAATTAAAAACAAGATAATATAAAGAATGAACTAAAATTATAAAAATATATAAGACAATATATCACATGCCAAAACCTCGCACAAAACACGACTGAAGCATCCATAGACACTCCTCTGTCTGGACTATTCTGAGTGCTCCTGTTAGACAGAGGCCGTGCACAGGAGAACCAGACTTTACTTACATGATTACTTTGGAGGTTTTCCTGTAAGCTGGGGTCGTTAAATCCCGCTTCCTCTGATGAGTGTGCGCTGTGGCTGGAAATGAGAGACGGAGAAGTCAAAACAAGACAACAGGTTGAAGAAACACAACATTACACAGTGATCAGGCACCAACTGGGAAATAAAAGCATCTTAGAGTCGGCAGAAACACTCCAGTAAACTAGATGTATAGATATAAAAGCAATCCTAAAAATATCATTATTGCTATATTGCTAATATAGTTTGATTTATTTTTTAGAGTAGAGTAGGGCTTTATTCATCCCCCTTGGGGGAAACATACTATTTATGTAATATATTAATCTGAATTGAGCCCAAGCAATGTGAAATTAAACTTTTTAGTTAGACTTTGGAATTGAAATCCCGTAGAGTAATGTTTTTTTTTAGCAAGCAATTTCCTAGGAGAATGAATAATTAAGCAGAATATAATTTTAGATTTAATTCATATGAGACTGTGGGTTGAATTTTTTTTTTTAAACCTCTTCAGTTCTTGTCCACTAATGCACCGAATCCAAATGTCATTTAATTGAACAAAAAGAATCCCATTCATAATTCTTACACTCCCCGTCTTTCATATCTGTTCATATTGTATTGTTTGTCTGAATGCTTTGGAAATGAAACAATGAAGGAGCAGCTGATTATACAACAAAAACCTGCGGTCAAACATCAGGCTGCTTCAAAGGCCACATCATTCACAGAGCACTCAGTCTGACAAAACACCGGGAAGTCTCTGCAGTTCCATTAAACGTGGTCTCCTTGTTGGTAAAATAAACACACCGTGACGTGAAAAAGGAGACGGTCAAAGTAATGGAGACAACAGGAATCACTGATGCCTGTATATATACATACATCGTTATGTTTGTATAACAGTTATTGTGCCTATTTTTTTTAAATTTATTACTATTAGAGTGTGCGTTCATGTTTATGGTCGTCTGCCTATTGTATTTCTCCACATCTTATGTTCGTTGTCTAGTTAATTAATAAGCATGCTAATGCTAATGTTAGCCTTCAGAGCACTGTCTCTTGTTTACCTTTGGCATTTACAGTTTTTTGTTGTTTTACTTTTGTACACTATATGGAGTACTAATATATCTCAGGTATTATTAGCAATAACAATAGGGACGAATAAAAACAAAATAGTTTAGCCTCAGATTGATAGCTTCAGATACAAAAGTAGCTAATGATTTATTTTTCTTGACGAAGCGGTGAAATGCAGAAAAAAAAAGATTAAAGTGAGTAAAAATGAATATAAATAAATAAGGTCAAAGTGTCAAAATGACAAGAGTCACTTCAGGACAGTGATCAGTGTCTTATTCCCCTGCTCCTCTGCGTCTCAGCAGCGCAGATCAATCGATTGTCCCTGTGATAAATAGATTCTTAAAGCTTCGTCGGACAACGGCTTCGTCACTGCTAACAGAGACCTTAGAGAGGCAGCCATTATCGGTCATTAGGTCTTTCTAATCCCACAGGAAACAATGAGCAGAAGAGATAATCAGACACTGGAGCTGAGTCACTGTGCTGCCATCTACTGCACAGGGAAACAGACAGCTGTGCAGTTAAAACCTGCAGACCTGCATCGACAATGGGTTTGTGCTTCACTACAGGGGGATTTATCACAATCAAAGGCTTTATTAGAAGTGTCAGATTAGAGCCCGGAACTATTTAATCGACAATGAACACACGTGGTTTCTGTTTCGCAATTAACACTGTATAACATAATTTTTTTTTAAATACAATTACTTTAATTTAAAATATATTTTTTAAATACAATTACTTTAATTTAATATGTTCCTTGCAAAACTATGTAAATAATATACTTTTGAGTGATAACATATATTTAAGATATATATTTCAGGATTAATCTCCAATATTTTTGTCCTTTTTTTAGCTTTATATTTCAACTAACTTGAACTATTGGCTTGTTATTTCCATAACGGGTTTTGGCTTAGTCAATTTTCTGTGGCTAAATAATTAGCAATTTTATTTTTTGTTGTTTTTGCATTTTTTTTCTGCAGTAACAACTCGTCACTGCCTAACAATAAACAGACAAGATAAACATCCATAAACAAAATAAAATGAAAGCAAAAGACACAAAGGTTGGACTGGACCTTTTTTGGAGTTACAAAAAGTAAAATTAAGCTGAATTTTTTTGGGACAAATTCTTCAATAAGTGCTATTCTTTAAAGCAGCTCGTCGTTGCTGTTGTTTTGCAATTCTTACATAAGGAATGAAAGGTCAGAGCTTTGCTTCAAACACAGCAGCTGTGATTTTGTGCAGCACTGCTGTGTGGAGGACGATCAGGTATTGATTATCTGCCAACACACACACACACACACACACACACACACACACACACACACTCTCTCTCTCTCTCTCTCTCTCTCTCAGGCCCCGTCACTATGGGAACAAGGCTTCTGGTTGTTCACAGTCAATAGCTCTAGATTGGTTTCAGATCAAGGCCAGACAAGAAGAGCTGTTCATTTGTAGAGGAGCAAACAATATGAAAACACAACCCCTGTGTTCAGGTACATTCCTAACAAAACATATGATTTACTTTGCTCTGTTTGCACCCGTGACCCAACTTTTGTAAGGATTAAGTTTTCATCTCCATAGAGTTGTTGCACAATAGTCGTAGTACAGACATTTCCATTGTTTGAGAACAGGAACAGGCAGACTGACGCAATCACTTATGCAAAACGCCACGGACACACTCATGCTGTCACTGCACGTCCGAACACCACAGCAGACGGATTTGAGCGTTAGAGTAGAATCGAAAAGGAAGTGAACCTGCTGAAGTGCTCATGATTTTTAGGGAACAAAAGAATATTCTGAAACATCCTCAGTGCTAACTAGTGACTAGGAAGAGTGAGTGCTTTTAGACAAAGAGGGGAAGTGGGCTTTGAATGGAGGATGTGTCATATTTAAGGCACTGAATGTTCTGATTAACTACATCCCATTTTTCCCATTTTTTTAAGAACCTTTTCCCCTTAAAAAAATTCAAGCAAATAATGACGATTAGTAGCTCAGTCTCAGGAACCTAGAGGTACAGAGTACGGTGTCTACACCGGCATGTTACCGTATAATACCTAAGAGAGGAGATTAGGAAGATTTCAAGGGCCCCAAAAATAATAATTTATTATAATATTGTAAAATATTGCTTTAGACATTTCTTGTAGTCTTGCACATACATTTAGAAATATATTCCTATTCTTAGGTGTGTTACATAGGTTACAAAGGTCCATTGTCACAACATTCAGTGGGACCCAGAATTCTGGCAGTGGCCCTGAGTTCATGCAACATTTAAATCATGGGTTTTTACAGTAAACAGTAAAGGAAAATCATGCAACTCAAGGCCTTTAAACCAAAGATTTGAGACAGAAGAACTCCTGCTAATACAACGTCTACATCTGGAGTGGACCCATTTTTCAGCTCGGAGAGAACAGTGAGTTGAAATTTAACAGCTAGAACCAGATTGAATGGTTTATTTGAACTGACTTGATTTATGTTTTCTAATTATAAGAAGTCAGATAAAACAATGAATTATACAATAACACTACTTAGAGATCCATTTGTTTCAGACTGTTTGGGGACAGACCACACAGGAATACAAACTAAACCACAAGCCACAGTCACAAACAACGTAACACATCCAAAATGCAGCAAGGAAAAGTAATCCAAATCAGCCAAAATTACATAACAGGGGAATTCTCCACTACGCCAGGCATCACAGAAGACATCACAGAAGCTCAGAGCCAGAGAAAAAAACAAAACAAGACCATTGTTTCAGGGCCGGTCATCTTACCAGTCGTCCTCAGTATAACTAGCCTCCTCTGCATCAGAGACGTGACTGTGGAGAACACACAGACTCTACCTGTTACTTGTTTCTGACTGAGAGGGAGAAAATGTTTGGACAGGAGCGAAGATGGAGTTAATCCATCCAAGGCCACTTCGACGATCTGACTTAATGACATTTCATTACAAGACTACTGTGTTCAGTGTCACTGAAATTACAGAATTAGACCATAAAGACTTCCCCAACGAGCACAAATACATTTCTACCAAAACAGAAAAGGTTATACAGGAGGTGTCCGCGGTTTACCACATCCTCCACCTGCGTCGTTTAAAAAAAAAAAGTGACTCACAACACATTTTTAGATGTGACTAATTCGTCGGTGCAATGTAGTGTTAGTAATTTTGACTATTTTAGCAAATATAAAGAATTTGTTCAATGCTTAGTAAACTGGAGCTTCACTGAACTGAGTCACACCCACGCCACCTGCTGCTCCAGCTTCTCCCCTGCCGTAGGCACTGCAGGTCCCAGTATGCCAGTACCACCGAGTACAAAAATAGCTTTTTCTCACAAGCTGTNNAACCACTGCTCAAATACCCATACCCCACCATCCAACCTGCACTTGCTGTAAATATGTTTGTATGTATGTAATTTTTCCTCTTTCAAAAAAAAAAAAAATCCCAAACAAAAATACAAATAAACAAACAAAAAGGGTATGCCTGTAAATATGTTGGTATGTAAGTATGTAGGTATACTTTATTTATTCCAGTCATATTTTTCAACATTAGTTATATACTTCCATGTAAAAACATGCTGAGATACGTTTCATTAGGTTAATTAGTCAAATGCACATAACTATGTCAATGTAAATTCATTAAATAAAATATTCATATTCCCGCAAAACTGGTAACTTTAGGGCAAAAGAAAAAAATGACTGTACACTAAGATTACAGCCTTGACGTCAACACTAGGTCTTCCTGAGATTTGAACCGATCCAGGATGAATTAATTACCCAACGTCTCAACCCTTGGGGTTAGTTTTAATAATTACAGCAGCTCTTCAGCTGTGCACTAAGCATGTGCAGGAAGGATTATTAGGGGGTGGAAAATTCATAAGTGCACTGGCTACACCAGTATAAATCAAATGTGATGGAGAAAAAAAAAGTTCCTATGTTAGATGCCTTCTGACTAGTGTGCTATATTATTATAATAACATTTACTTGGAGAACTGCTGACACCACAGGCGACCACTTTTGCTGCATCCCTCCCCTAGAGAGTTAGGCTTGGCCACATTGACATTGGCGAGGACTGATAGCTCACAATGCAGCCGTATATATGTGCGTGTGCGTGCGTTTCTGTCCGTCTTTGTCTGCATTCCACGTATAACACATACCGTCGTGCATATCACGGTCAGATGCTGCTGCGGATATTCTGCATTATACAAACTGTATATTGGCCATACAATGGCCTACATTGGGGCTACATTTGTTTTTTTATGTTTGTGTTGTTGTTTCATTATGGGTCCCAGGCACAAGGCTAGATTATAATGTATATATCACTGTGTTAGCGTAGGCGAGTGACATACAGTAGGTACTGATGTACAGTACGTGAATCGCAACTGATGGTGAAAATCGAGTTACAACATTACGCCATAGGAATGGAATTCCGATGTAAGTTGTGGATCCCCTGTTTATAAAACAAGGGGAAGGAAGAGGTGGGATGGGTGACAACTACATTAGACTTCCTGTCCCTTAGACTCTGACTAATAGGAGCACTTGTTGCACTGTACAAAATACTAACAATGGTCCGATTTAATCTATCTTTACATCAAAGCAAAGGAAAAAATTATTTTTTTTATATCCAATTAATTTTACAGACAGCAAACATCCGTCCGTTTCTATTAGTCGCACAGGGACGTTCTGTTTCGTAAGGAATCAAAGGCAAACATTTCTGTTTGATGAAGGACAGACAGACATCAGCGGCCACTGCAGCTGCTGCAGACTCACTTCAATCAGTGCTGAGATGAGAGAATGTCCCTGATGACCAACAGACCTGACCTAATTAACGCAGGAACAGAATTTGAACGAAGAAAAAAAAAAACAAAACACAACAAACCGAAACATCCGTGTTTAATCCACAGTCGAAGAACGTAATCGTATTTTTCAAAACAAAAATGAATTGTGATGTCTCTGACTTTTAGATACAAACTAAAACAAGAAGTTCCAGTGGCAGCTGTAGAACTCATGAATTATCCATGTGATGTTAACACCTAGTGCTGGAGAGGTTGTCCTTTATGGTGGTAGATTCAGCTTCGATCCTGTCTTTGACTGAGCTCACTGATATGTACTGCAGAGCTTTTTTATATACATTCTTTAGTCATATTTTCTGTAGCATATATATATATAAATATCAATCATGATGTGACTGGTATACCATGTAGCATTGGTATGTGTTGGTTTGTTAAAGGCAGTGGAATGGCTATGCTGCTCACAGTACCTTCAAATGTTTGAAAATAATGTTAGTACTGAATGTAAAAAAAAAAACCAAATATGCTTATTTTTTTAAGTTAAATATAAAACACAACGTATACAATGTATATCGTAAAAGGGACCATGTTTCATTTCGCTATCAGTTTAAAGGCCAGAAAATGTTTTAGCATTTTGGTGATCCTTTAAAAATGCACAATATGAGAATTAAAGAAAGACGAGAAAATATAAATTATTATTTATTTTAGCAAATAAATAGTTAGTGTGCTGAAGCTAGGACAGTTTTCCTCACCAAAGGCAAAAGAAGATGTTGAATATTGCCAGACTACTAATGGTTTAGCCTGCTGCTTTGATTATGTTTCAAACAGTTTGAACACTGTGCCTAGTTCAGCCAAGAGCGAATGTTGTTTTTACTCTACAAGTAAATGTATTTGAAGGGAGTTACTGCCTCAGAAGAATCTTTTGGCATCAAGTTGTTGTTGTTGTTGCCGAGAGGCTGCTTAATAATGGTGGTAATGTGGAGAACTGTGTGAAATGAATGCTTTCTGCTCCAGTACTGAACACACATCATCAACAAAACCCTACATTTGAGTCTGGGATCGACATACGAGCAATCTGATATCCCACTGAAGATATTTGATTTATTATTACTGGAAGTCTGCAGAACACCCAGAAATGTTCTTTCACAACAACGTCTCACAGGACATGTGAGAATGTGTGAAGTTTAAATGTGGTGCAGAAAAAAAAAATTTATGGCATAAAACAAAAGACCTTTCGGAAGAACTATCAAAAAGAACAGTACGTTTTAGAGGGTTTTTTTTTTTTTTTAAGAGAAGATGAAACGCTGTGAAGGTGAGAGTAAAGTCTGACGGTTTTATTTATAGTTATTGTTGTGAGAAGTGATGAAGCTGCTAATGAGGAGGTCAAGGAGACAAGGAGAGAGGCAGAGACAGAAAGAAGAGAAAAAAAAGTGAGAGCGTTAGAGATAGAGAGAGAGAGAGGGAGAGGGAGGGAGAGAGAGCAATCAGCTGTACAGTCACGCACACACTGCAGTTAATACATGTCATGGGAAAAGAAAATGTGGAGGATGAAGGTGGAGAAGGCGAAGGAGATTTAAAACCTACCCATAAGCCACCCCGGCGATGGTGCACTTCTTGAACTGCATGACGTTGCAGGTCAGAGTTCCGGTCTTGTCAGAGAAAATGTATTTCACCTACGTGAACGTGTGTAGAGAAACACAAATTAGCAGTGGCGACGTGAACATGAGCATCAATGAAACAGACGTGGAACACTGTAACAGCAGTGTTTACCTGGCCCAGTTCTTCATTGAGGTTAGAGGTCCGAGCCATGGCTGGAGTGTTCGTGGGCTCGTAGTGCATATCCGTGTCCTGAGGAATTCAGGAAAATCATTAAAAATATATTTAAGTGATAAACATTTATTTTATTGTTCACCTACAGTCACAGGGAGCAGCCAAAAAGCTGACGTACATCATAGACAGACACAGTCAGAGGGGTTCCGCAACTATTGTATAATATTTTTGCAGCTAAACTCGGATCAGACACAGTTTACTTCAAGCCCAGACGCGGTTTTGTTGTTTTTTTTTTTGTATCCAACAAAATAATATACATAATAAAATACTACTCCTGCTAATTATGACAGCAGAGCTAAAAGAAAACCACCCTATATAGAGCATTGCTAACTTTTTTAACAGGACTGTCACACACTAAAAACAATCTGATTAATTCTATTAACTAATAGCTGTGGCTCATAATTGCTCAGATTAATCATTATCACAATTAGGAATAGCTCAATACAATATTTTCATGTCTGATACCAATAGTGCAACTTGAAGTATCTGCAGATAGTGATTTACATCTGCTACCTTAATTTCTCCTCTAGTATGCCGTTGGCTGTCGTTGTTGAAGCGAAAGTGTCAGATCGGACGAGCTATAGTTGGTGTTTTCAATGTTCGATTCTGAAATTTGACCAATATCGATCCTAAGTATCGGATCGCGCATCCCTGTTCACAATTAATCACGATTATTTGAAATAATTTAACATTTCTTAATTGGACAATTTTTGTTTATCGCTAAACAGAATGACAAACAGCAAGTATACAGTATGCCGTGATGGAAGTATTACTAATTCTTTCATTATTTGAGGCTTGGTATGAAAGATTTTTCTCAGATCGTAAACTCTGACTCTCACCCAGTTGATGAAAAACGCCTGGATGAACTTGATGACCTCCAGTGTGACCAGGAGACTGATGGGGATCAGGTTGTTGAAGAGAATGATGAAGGTGAGAAAGTTCAGGCCGAAGTTAGCAGCTCCTCCATCTACAAAGGTTTAGTTTGGAGTTATAGACATAAGAGAGTGATAAACAGGAGACTCATCAGCGACACATATCAATCAACAGGGAGTTTCATGAAAATGTCCAAAGCTATTTCCAGCTAATGATAAACATTAACCTAATGGCAGAGAACGGTTTGGGCCAACGTTGAGCATTAGCTGGATTAACCTTATTCGTCTGGCCAACCTCCAATGATTAGCAGTCCATATCTTTAAAATGTCCCAAAGACTCAGAATAACCAAAGACTACAGTGTCTTGAATACAATTAGAGTGACAGCAGCAGCAGCCTTGGCATCCAGCATGATCCAGGCAATGATTTTCAGTAAGCACTAATGCAAAAGAAGAATGCTGCCCCCGACCAAAATGCCCCAAAACCACTGGCAATCATCCACATGTATCCCCACTAACACCAAAACATGAAAACAGGAGGGATGTGATTTACCTTTCCTCAGCTTGCAGGAGGTTCAAATGATCGAACCTTTTTCTTTAACCCAAGCCTTGATCTTAGCATTGCAGTTGAGAGGGGAAGCCCTTCCCCGTGACACAACAATTGCAGAACAAAAACTTGGGATGGAGTAAAATAAAGTGGAAGAATGAAAACTACTTCTACGACAACAAATAGAGGAGAGGAAACACGTTTTGCTTTTTTTTTTTTTTTCTTCTCAGATGTGGGGAAGAAGACAAAGGATGCTCTCAAGACAAAGGAGAGGAGAGTCAGTCCAAGGCACACTCTCAAACCAACAAGGTGTGGAAAAGAGTCGGTGGGTTATGTCGGCAGATGTTTGAGTGTTGTTATAGATCACTATATCACTTAAACAGTATGATGTTAGGGGAAGGGAATCTTTAGATTCGGAGGTCATACTACAGTTGATCAGTCAAGAGTCACTAAATATAACTATCAATACAGCAAAGCACAACATGCACACATCACACAGGTGCAGATCTGCACTTACACTGTGGTTGTGGTTGTTTATCTTTTGGGGCGAACAAACTTTAAAATAGTCCGCAGATCCAATTCACCTCGAGTGGGAGTTTTGTTTATACACAGATGAAATAAACTATGTTGTTATATTTGGTAGAGATGTCCCCATTTCTGTCACCTAAACTAACTTAATTTAGCTCACATCTATCTTTTATGACCTAGGTTCCAGCAGCATTACTTGAAAAAAACATTCAAAAGTATAGTTTGGAAAAATGACCAGTCAACTAATGATGCTAGGAGTTGGTGTAGGAGCTTTCTTCAGCAGTACAGACCTATTTTTGCCCTACAGTTCATTAAATAGTTTCTAGAGATCAGGGTGTCTATGGTCTAATTTGTTTTTGCCTATATATTTTTGCTCAGATTGATCAAACCTCGTTTTGAAACTCACATTAATTTGAATTTTAAGATTCTATAACAATTTCAACGGGTTGAAATAACAGCATTTTAATATTGATCTGACAACGAGGGAGGGAAAACGGTTGTGCTGTGATGTCGCGAGGTCATCAGTGCCCCACTAACGGGGACAGTTAGCACAAAAATAATGATATGGAGATAGCTGCAGAACATTCAGAGTAGCAATTAAATTAACTTTGCTCTCAATCTGCATAAAATCAACTCGTGTCAGGCAAATGCTAAATGCCAGCGATGAGTATTGGTGTCAGCGTTTAAAAAAAAAAAAAACAGGTCAGGGTCACATGAATTATTTATTAGGTATGAATAAACACAGGCCTGTGTGACACATGAGCCTGTGTGATGTGCAGTGAAGTGGCCCTGACACTGGACTCCTCTATTTTGTTCTTCACATTTAGAGTGAAAGTAGAGAAAACTTAGAATTAAAGGGCAGGTTTTTAAATTTAAAATACAGACAGGAGATTTTAACTATCGACCTTAGGTTCTTATAGGACCTGTAGTCCGCACAGGTCGAGCGAAAACGAATGAAAATAGTTATATAGGTTATGTAAGTTATCAAACCCTCAGGGATCCTGAGATGATATATTAGAAATAAAAAAATGGACGTGATTATTCTGAATATTTAAAATGGAAAAATTGCATAAATGCCCCTGTAGTATGAAAAATCTGCTGTTAAAAATAATCTTGGAGTAATTGAGAAATAACTGTTTTGTTTTGTTTTCTGGAAGCGGAAATCTTATCTTTCTAATGGATGTGTCATCAATAAAAGTGTCTCTGACTAACCTCAAACCAAGTTCAGCTCTTATTGGATTTTAGATGTTATTTGCTTAAGTTGTATCTTGCAGCAACAACGCGTGGTTTTGGTTGAGCGTTCATTAAAAAGAACAGATTATAGGTGTCAATAGAAATTTAGAAACACTGGTAAATGCAAGAATTTGGGATTACTATTTAAACCTGAAACTGTTCACGGTGTTGTAGACTATTTCTTATCCACATTAATGGCCTTATTTCCAATATCAGTGAGTCAATTCAATTCTTGGAAGCAAGATACGAACATGACCTTTACCCTGTCCCCACCTCTCTCTTTAGTCACTGGTTTTATAATATGCCCTGGACAGAGTCTCAACAGCTCCTGACAGAAGAACAGTCAGTCTCATGGTGAACTCCTGCTTTAGGACTTGCACCCCCCGCATTAATGCAGCGTTGGTGGTTTTGTTCAGAACCAATCAAATTGGCGGAAATGTCCGGATCAAGGAGGTGGTGCAAGCCGTAATGCAGGCTTGAATTGACCAGGGCAGGACCTCTGCTCCACAGGTCGACCAGGAAACAGAGAAATGAGCAGCGTGTCACGATAATCACTTTGCACACCAGATTTAGAGCTTCCCCACATCACTGTGTCACAGAAATAGAGCAGCCTACATTTTTAGATCCTGATGGGAGCTGAAAATAGAGCTGCTTTGCATCTTGGCTTAAGAATAGACATGGAAATAAACTTTTTTCCCCCTCCTTATTCCCTCTCCTTTTCCTTTTATTCTCTTCATGAAAAATCCCCACTAGAAAAACCAAGCAGCAGAGGCATTTAGAAAATGCCAGCTCCTGCCCCCGGGGGTTTACCACACTTGGAATGTAAGCAATAGAGACAGTATCAGCCTCCTGTTGTTTAAGTTTTGCTATGACAACCTTACAATCCACCTACAAATCCCACTTCCAGAAAAGTTGGTACCCTACTTAATAAATACTTACCATGTGGTTGAGACAATTTCTCTCTTTTGTACAAACTTCTATTCTAATTATAAACTTCTACACTAATTCTATTAGTAAATATATATAATAATAATAATTGACAAGAGATTGTACAGAGTCAGGTTTGTACCACCTGGTCACATGCCCCTTTCTTTTAGTTACACTATTAAATTAGGAATTATTCAAAGTCACGATGCTCCAGGCATTTTCAACAGAAAACCGATCTGAACTGCAGGCAGCACGGTCAAACTAACTTTAAAGCTTTAATATATAATTTGTGCAGAATGAAGCCTAGGTTTGTCCTGATTGACAGATCAACATGCTAACAGCTAACATGTTAACAATCGCCAGAAACAGGCCAAAACACATACACGACTTCTCTGGAAATGAGATTTCTAAGCACTAGTTTTTCAGTTCTCATAGGAAAATGTGGAACAAATTAGGGTGAGGGTCTGAAGCTTGGGAGCTGCAAAGCGTTTAACGTGGCACAAAATGAAAGATGAAGAAAAGAGTGAGACACTGTTTGCATCAGGCACTGAAAATAGGAGAATAGACCAAAGAGTGAGAGAGCTGGAGGGGAAAACACCTATTGATGGATCCCTGGTATGTGCTCGTCCATGGCATGGGCCCATACAAAGAAGGGCAGCCAGGATAGAGGGGGCTTCATTTGCTTAGCAAAGGCAGAGCTTCAGTAAGGGGTTAGTAAGGGAGGGTCATTCACGGATGGCCAAGGCTTTTAAATGGTTGTTACCTGGAGCTGTTAAAAAAAAAAAAAAACAACAAAGAAAAAAAAAAAAAAAATCAAACAGAACATTAGAAAAATGAACCAAAAATACAGCAGCGCAGTGATATTCAACCATTTCTTTCAGACAGACACATGTATGTTTGTATGAATGTGTATATATGTGGGTAAAGTATTAATGAAAGCATGTGTGCACAGTATACATACAGTATTTATATACAATATACATATATGCATCTAACTATGCATCAGTATGCATGTATGTATATATATATATAGGCGTCTATATGTACAATATGTATGTACAGTATTGTATACGCATACATGTAAGTATTAATGTGTGTTATTTATGTGTCTATTGATGTATGTGTGCGTGTATGAATACATGTACGTATGTAGGCATGTTTGTATGTCATAGCAGACTTTTCTCAGTTAACAGGGAATCAACAGCATTCCCACAGTGTCACATATTTCACTTATACAGGGTTCATACAGATTCACACAGGTTACATCTGTTAAGGTTCACGCAACCTGAGTATTTTTTTTTTTTTTTTTTTAAATCAGCCTTTTGGCAACTTGTTCTTCATAAATATTTTTCATTACCAGTTACCAGTACAATATGTAAATATGTGTGTGTGCTTGCCTGAATATAAGGAATAGGACTGTAAAATATTATAGTATTTCAAAACCTTGAAAGCTCACGACTAGAATCCTACCACTTTCAAGGTACTTTTCAACTGTCCACTGTATGAACCCCGCCTTTAATGCGAAACATAGTTTAACTGAGGCAAAAGTAAGAATGAGAGGACACATACCAGCATTTAGGAAAAATAAAAGGACAAATAAATAAGCTGATATGAACGAGTCAGACAGAAATGTAAGCAGTGGTTTTGGTGTTTGCTGCTCAGACTCTTACAGTTCAGGTCCATGTACCAGGCGTCATTCCCGTACTGGTACTTCCAGATGGTTTGACCAATGGAGCAGACCAGAGAGATGGCCAGCAGGCAGCCAAACAGCACCAAGATCTGGAAGTTGGTGATGCGCTCCACGTTGGAGAGCTTCAGAGGGGGCCGAGTGGAATTCTGGGTAAAAACACATGAGAGCTTAGCGGTGGGTCAGATAAGACGGAATACAGTTTGAGGGCCATTTTGGATCACTGACAAGAGATTACACCAGATTTTGAATTTTAATACAGTTCGATTGTTTATTATCTAAATATATAAAGATTTTCTATGTCAAATTATGACTTTTGTTGTCACTTTTTTACAGTTTGAATGACACAATGGAGAGTCTCTAAAAAATATTTTAATGTTTTTAATAAATTATTATTCACTAACTATGATGGCAAAACTGAACGTTGAACACAAATAATCAAATAGTCTTAATACAAGCTCGGTAAATTATACTGCATTTTACACACATTTTCCACACAGAGTAAATCCGATACTTCACGATGCTTCACCTGCATGAGCTTGGTGTCGTGCCCAGTGTAAACCACCACACCGTGGACCCACTGAGTGTTCCTCAGCTGAGCTCCTCTCAGCAAGATCTGGTCTGGGCCCAGTGGTACAGTGCTGCAGAGAGAGTGATGACGAACGTCTTATTTGTGACTTGTTCAATAAAATAGGAACATTTCGATGCTAATCATTGACAGAAACACTGCTGTGGTCCGTTAAAGAGGCGGGGGGGACAGAGCCCACCTTTGTCCATCCAACCGAATGTTGCCCACAAACTCGTACAGATGACGATTTGGACTTTCACACTCCATCTTCCCAGAGAGATGGACCAGACCATCGATGTCCTTGATTTCTGCAGTCAGGGGGAGACCCTGGTGATGAAGGTACAGCTGGTTTAGCGTTTGTTGTCTGGTTGCTTTTTAAAAATCAATACTGCTTCTATGATTGCATTCTTTGTTAAATGGATTCACTTTGACATGTACTATTCAATTGTTATTGTATTGGAAAATAGAGAGTGGTAAAAATGCTTCACCTGTCTAATTTTCAGGTTTGTTTCTCCATCAAGGTTTGAGGTTTCAATGTAGCACATTCCCTGTGGTTCACTGCGGTAGGAGGAAACAGTAGGGTAAGCATGGTGTGATGATTTGACTGCAGTTAATATTAATGGTCCGACGCTGTAACAACTACAATAATCCGATAACTAAAGATGAGGCTAAAAAGACCAGAGCACAGCAAACAAAAATGCTTCACATTAAAGTAAATTTACGTTTTACTCAAAGAGCTAAATAGTTGAAAACAACAGGAGTTATGCAGTACTTATATCCAATTTGATGTCTAGGCAACTGAAGTTGCCTACAATCGGGTGTTTTTTTAATCGTCTTAATCCACAAGTGGTTCAACAAATATGAACTCCATGTTCTCTATGAAGGCACTCTTCCTTATAAATGTTATAAAAGGAAACTTTAGGTTGTGTCTTAAGTAAACTTGGACTAAATGTAGCATGCACAGCTTTGTGTATTAAGATTTTAAAATAATTAATTTAAAACTATTATATATGTATATATTAAATATGATTCATTAAATATGAACAGGTGTCCATACTTTATTGCCTTGGGAGCTCCAGTTCATATGACCAGGCTAAAGTCATTTACCTACACTGAAAACACTAAATGTATATTTACTGATATGAACTGAATATACTTTATATATACATTATGTGTTGGGGATACTGATTAAATGCAATGTGATAGAATTCTCACAGCAGATGTCACTATTACTTATTATTATCAGTATTATCAATATTTTACATTTTTTATTTAACTGAATAATTTTAAATTAAGCTTTGAATATTTTTTGTTTTATATTTTTAATATTTTTCTATATTTATATTTCTGAAAATCTACCAACACTAATATTATTAGGCACCTACAGCTTTGCACTAGTGTTGAGCCATAACTATTCTTGCGAAGACTGATCTACTTGGTGGATGTTTTTTTAAAACCTGATTTTAAAACCCACCTCCGAGAATATAACATTTAATAGTCTTACTTTTAATCAATAAAGCTGTATCAATGTAAACAACATCTACAGTAAAGGAAGTGTACCATCCATACAGACACTGGGGTCATGTTGGTTAACCACTCACTGCAGCTTGGCTGAGTAAGTCAGCTTCTGAGAATGTCGATGACTTATTAACTCGTGCACCAACGGTGTGAGCTGCAGTCATTAAGTCCCTTCTTCGGGGCGGAAGCTTAGCATCTTTGTTCACTGTTAGCTCCAAGTTTGAGGAAACTTTTTAAGGGATATTAAGAGCAGGGGGACAGAGAGTGGACAGAAACAAACTGCAGAAGTGATGGGAGCGAGCAGAAAACATTCCAGGCACAAACTCTGCAGACAAATGAGCCTCTGACAGAGTCTGGGCACAGGGACAGAGACTTAGAGCATGCCAGCGGTTAGATACTCTTTTATTAGACTGAAAGAGGGGGAGGAGAGGGGGAGTCAGGAAGAGATCTAAACACTTCAGGCTAACACCGAACAATGAGAGGACCGGAATCCCCCAGCAATCATGAAAATGAAAGTTCGTGATGAGTCTGCCAGGTTATGACGTAACTCAGACTACAGGAAAATCTACTTACAACTACAATGACTTTCAGGATAAATATTTCAACGTTTCATTTTCAGCATGCCAACAGTCGAAGCATTCAGGATGCCTTTCAAGCCATGCAAGAATATGGAAATAATATTGGACTCGAAATTTGAACCCCAATGGAGGAGCACGTGGTCCTCCATTGTGCTGTGATACTACAAATTTCTGCCGAGGTCAGACTACATCTAAGTACAGGATTTAGGACATTTTCAGCTGTGAATGGCCTCTGGATTTTGCGGAACCTTAATTTTGCCTCTTTCATCCAAAATTCTATGAATAATAACAGAGAACTGAACAAATATTATAACTATTCCAAACCATTAGTACAATGATACATGAGAAGTAGTTTGACCTCGGCATCTATCTAATATGCATTTAAAGTGATATAAGCTAAATAAGCTCTAGAATTCATACATTATAGAAAAATAAGCTCTAGAATTCATACATTATATAAAGCTATGCTATAATATTCCTTTGTTTCTTTTGAATAAACCAAAGAACATGTTTTTCTACTGGTGTGGAAATATTTTTTGGTCATAAAATTCCATCCAGACTGCCCCCGATCTCTCCCACCGCTGCTCAGTTGCTGCTGGTTTTCCTGACCTGGACGACAGAATGACGAGGTCAGCCGGGAGGTGATCCCCGTTTGCAGCTCTGACTACTTCCCCAACAGCCACCTGATAAGAATAAGCAACCAGGCACCAGCAGGGGCGAGATAGGGAGATAGCGTGGCAGTCGTTCGCACGGAGGGCGGTGGGGGAGAAGAAATAAAAACATACACGGACAAACAGAGCAAAACAGAAAAGAGGGGAGAGAGACAAGTGTTTCAGTTTAAAAGAAAATGACACAAACACAACGATCGGTCCTGTGTGATTAACAGGGTGTGGTTGAACATCTGTTCTCCTTTTCACTAAACCATTCACATGAACAACAACTTCAGAGAAGCTTCTGCGCCGGTGTCACTGCTCAGACTCTTATAACAGTCAGAGAAAGAGCAATTTGGAATGTATTGGGGAAAAAAAAAACTGCAGGATCTGCAACAGGTCGATTTGGAATGTATTGGGGAAAAAAACTGCAGGATCTGCAACAGGTCCAAATGGTTTATTGAAAAGGTGAAGGAGGTAGGAAGGTTCGTGGGAACATGATTGTTCATTTCTTTCCACAAAAAATTCCCATTACCCATTAGCGACCTAAAGGAATGATGGTTGTTCCGCAACAGATTTAAAAAAAAAAAACACTTTTCGTGTTTAGTTTTTTTTTTGGTTCATCATTTCTAAGTTTCCAACAACATCACTTCTTTAGGTGGAGGTGAGAGAGAAAGAGAGAAGTCCCCACAGTCTGGCAGCAGGTGGACACGCTTTGGTACCTGGACGACAAAATGACAGCATCCGCGGGAACGAAATCACTGCCATTTACTCTAAAAACATCGCCCACTTCAACCTGTGAAAAATAAAGTGTTACTGCTGAGCTCTGCCTATGAAAGAGCAGAACAGAAAATATGAAAACCACACTGGGGCTTCGAGGAATAAATGTGCAGCTGTGGGGGAAAAACAGAAGGTGAATACTTTAAAAAGAAGCAACCAGGTTATTTCAGAACGTTACCGCAGCAGACGATGGTATAACTATATCTGAATCACCAATTTTTAGCATTTCGCTACCAACCAGGACAATTTTAAATGAATGCTATTTTTTCTAACTAGAGACACCTAGACAAAGCTTTAGCTACTTTTTTTTATTTCAGATATAATATATTATTAGATTTTTTAATGGTATGATTTCATTTCTTACTTTACATTTGCAATATTCACTAGAGTCTTAAAGCAAGCTAGGCTGCCAACACTTTCCACTCTCCAAAAGTGTGGGAGATGGCCCTGCTTGAGGTGAGAAGCTAGTGCAGGAGGTGTTTAGCAAATGCAAATTAATTTAAATTTCAATATTTATAGCACAGTATGGCAGCTGCACTGATTTGAAGTTGAATTCCATTTGTTCAAGATGAAAAGCAATTTGGTAGAAATAACTGGGTTTTAAATGAAGATTGCAGGTTTGAATGTGTGGTTTGAGGTGGACAGGTCTGGGGCTCAGCCGTAGTCCTATATACAACACTGATGTGCTGGAGAAAAAATTTGGCAACCAGTGCTTTAAAGTAATTCTTGGCTAAATATTATGATATCCTTTATACATTTCAGATAATAACAGTCAAATCTTTAGTTATTTTTGGAACCACTTTAGCGATCATTGGTATATTTGACGCCGACTCTTAAATAACAGTCCTTTCCTTTTTTACACCAGTGTTTCCCAAACATTTTTTCTGGGGACCCATATTTTAAAAGTCACAAACTTTCACAACCCAAGTTAATACACATTATTCATAAACTCCTGGGTAAACATGATGTGAGACGACCCCAAAAAAAGAAGAAGAACATTTTCGACCCACCTGAGGGTCGCGACCCAGTCCTTGGGAAACAATGCTTTACACAGAACTTAATAATAATAATAATAATCTTTGGCTCTGTTTAAGCTACTATATTTCTCATAGCTAATCTGTCATCACTTGTTTTCTAAAATTCTACCAGACATATTAAATGTCTTCAACCACCAGGTGCCAATTCTACTGATGTGAAGCCAGTCAAAAATCAATGATTAACAAAAAACAATTCATCCACATTTAAAAAAAAGTTCTTTGAAATTCTATGAATAAATCACACACCATGTTGCTCAATCATTTCTTGTAAAAAAAAAAACAAGAACAAAACACATGATCTGTCTCACACGTCTAGTGTTTGTTGGATGAAAAAGTATTAATAATTTCATTTTTCAGCAAAAGAATTGACCTCAATTGTACACTGCCTGCTGTTACCCCCCCGACACACACACACACACGCACTCATCCTGCTTTTATCTGAATGACTCCAGCCACTGTCGTAAAAACAACCTCATTATGGGAGAAGAGGGAGAGCTGCTCTTTGTCCTCCAGCACTGCTGTGTAATGAGTGCCCACACGAAAACAGCAGATTAATGAGTGGCTGAATACTACAGAGGTCAGACTCTGGACGAGTGCATACGTGTGTGCGTGTGTCTGAGTGACTGAGAGGTCTATAATTGGCACCAACAGCATGAATGAATGAATGGTACGACTGTATAATATGTGTCACAATCATCCAGTGTCACTTCCATACAACATACCTTCTCCCAGTGCACAATTTCCCAGGCTCGGTTCCTCAGAACTGTAGGGACACAGATGGAGGAAGGTGTAGTTAAAAAAAACATGAGGAAGAAAAACATGGCATAATAAAGAAGGGTTAGACATGAAGACTATGGATAGTATCTTTGGAGATATACTCCCATGAAGTATTCAATTAAAAGTTTTATTTCTTTTATTATTTTATGCACGTTTTAGCACGATCCCTTTTTGGGTAAGGAAAAGCAGTCAATGACGAGCCACATTTTCAGGCTTTACTTTATAGTTACTTTAGTTATGGGTATTTAGTTAATGAAACCAAAATGGTCAGTTTAAGGGGGTTATGAAAATGCTAAACATGACAATGTCAACACGACTGCGCTTAGTTCAGGGGACTCATTGAGCTGTGGGCCAATTTTAAGGGGGGGACACATGAGTGTTGAATTGTTGCTTAATGTAAATAATGTTTAACAAATAGACTTTTATCTCTCTGAAATGACCAACTAAAAAAATTGAATAATTAAAAATTAAGACAATTAAAATTAACACATCTAAAAAAAAAAAAATTACATTATTATTGACACGAAGTCCCGGGCCAAATGTTGGTACATTTGTGAGCTGAAAGTGGCCCACAAGCCAGGGGTTTGTGCGCCCTGGCTTAGATCAGCTGTGCAGCGCTAATCCAAAGAGACTAATTGTTTTGTCTTTGGACCTGAAAGTGTATACTTGTGTACACACACTCTTACTACATTCTTCTGAAAAATGCTTGCAAGGAAAATAATAATCATTGTTTTTTTTGATAAACTATGTTGTCCTTCCTGGACATTCAAGGCTCACCGTGGTTTCTGTGCTGTCGCTGATAAGGTCGTCTGTACTTCATACAAACAGATTTGAACTATGACTCTATTTTTCAAAAGAAGAATAAAACGGTCCCTTACCTTGGCATTCCTTTTTGTTGACAACATTGTCAGCCTTGTGACGTTTCTGTGCAAAAAACAAAAAGCAAAGTCATTTTTTTTTTCTGATATACAAATTTAGTTTCAAACTACGATCAAAACCTTGACATTTTTCCCCTGGAGTCAAACTCCGGAGCACAGAGTAAGAGGAGAAGTAAGAGGGGGAGGATAATACGCCTCTCAGAGAAAGAGAAGAAATAGAAAGAAATAGTAGAAGAGACAGCACTCGCACAAAAACCATCCTGCATTGTAGGAACCACATCTTCAGATACTACTGCAGAAAAAGACACATGTCACAATATAACACAGTACCAGGGTTACTGCGGGGAGAACTGATTCTGCAGTTACAAGGTAACACCGAGATAACGCCAAAGTACTGACTCAATGCTGATAATATTCTACAATTAAAATTTTTTTTTAGGTTAACAACATGAAGTATACTCTGTATCAAAATACTCTGCACACTGTAATCTGAATGTGATGAAGAAACATGACACCCAGTTTACATTTCCATGTAGATAAAACGCCTTTTGGTGCATTACGTCCGTTCATTTTTTTTCTGACTTTTATGCTTCTCTGTCTCTACTGTTCCCGCTCCTTCTGTCCCGGTGGACATGAAGGACCGGAGGTGTCCTGTATTTAGATAGTGAGTGTAATCACAGTGCAGTGGAGGGAAAGACACCGAGAGTATGCATGAATACTGCAGTAAAAAAAAAAAAGCAAAAAAAAAGGCCTCTATGGAATCCAGCAATCAAAGGCGGGAAGAGAAGGTGAAGGGGGAAAAAGGTGAAGCATCTGCAATATTACTTTGATCATCCCTCGAATATGGTTTGAATAAGAAAAAACACTGTGGTATGCAGGAGTGAGGGAGGAGGTGTAACTTTTGTTGTTTGTTGCTGCACTGCTTCACTGTAGGTTTCTATCCAGGGACTAAAGAACCTACAGTACCATATTTGTTTTTCTTTGTTATATCCATATCTTCTTTAAGAGATTTTCTTAAGCCACTTTTAAATGGCAGTTTTACTGTTGGCCAGCAGGAGCAAACTAGCAACAACTTCTTTTCTGAAAGTCAACAAATAAGTCTTTGAGATAATTAGGGTCTTCAGAATTGACCACCTTCTTCTTGTTATACGGCCAGCAAATGGCCAGCAAATGTAAACAACGATGTCTTCCATGTGCAGCGCTAGGCTTGCCAACTAGTTACCATGCTAAATATGTTTTTTTTCCTGTACGTTGGAATGATGGAAAAAGACATCAGACCAGGAAATGAACCATTGACATCACTTCCACAGTTCACTGCTGTCGTTTTGTGTAATAAAAAAAATGTTTTTGTAAAATTGGTATCAAAAAGGAACGGTAGACTTCAAACCTACTGTACATCAGGGTGACTTTCTAATCCATAAATTGAACTTTAAAGAGACAAAGGTGGGTAATGAGAAGGACTGAGGCCTTGTTGTAACTCGGCACATCTTTTATACCTTGTTTTCTTGTGCCTGACCTCCATTTGCTGTTGATCTGCCCTTGACACACAACATTAATGCCTGACTCTGTGACAGTAAATGAACTGAGCTCAAAGTGAACTGCACCGTTGGGATCAATAAAATTTTACGAATCTGAATCTTAATCACGCCACAGATTTTTGTTGAGCTGTAATGTTTCGCAGCAGAGACGACCAAGAACCGGTTAAGATACACGTCGTATGTCCTCGCTGCATGATTCATGAATTCAACGGTCAATTCTGCCCCCGCTGGTTGACCCGTGTGGGACAGCCGCACGACGACCTTCAGCAGATAAAGACGGAGTCATCACTTCCTACATTCCCATGTTTTTAACAACAGGCAGGGAGAAAGTGCTGTGCTGGTGCCTTCAGCACCAGATAGAAAACCTATAGTATAAAGTGACCGTCCACTGGGACTGAGCTCGGGGATCACATGGCAGGGTCACTGCAGTACAGAGGACTACAACATTCCCTCACTTTCTTCACATGGATCTGAACTTATTATGGAATTATAACCAGGGTCGCAAGGGGATCACTGGTCCACACAACTCGTAATATCAGCAAGTCACACACACACACACACGTTTGGTAAACGACAACCGTGGTTTAGCTGTTGTTGACGCACCATGTTGGAGTGGGCGGAAAAAGCCGTTTTGTGTCAAGAATCCAACTCGTGCTGTAAAAGCTTTTTTCTGCAGGTGGTGTGTCATCAATGTTTGAGCACACTATACAGGAACACACACCTGGTCCTCTTAATTTCTGACATCATTTGCAAACAGGCTCGCTTTCATCACTAATTCCCACTGGCCAAGCCTAATGCCATTTTTTTTTTTGTCATGGTAAAAAAAAAAAATCTGGACAACCTCTGCAGACATCATTGCCATCCTATCCATTGGTTGTTTTTTTTTACACTGACAAAGCGTTAAATTTACAGTTTAGAATGTAATTCTAAACAATTCAAGACAAAATGAATACAGAGCCAGGCCTGGTATCCTACTGGGCTGTACATCTGATTGGCTACAAATGAGCTTTAGATTTTAGAGTAATGCAGTAATTGTTTGGAGAACTGCATTGGCTCAAATATTATGAACTGCAGCCACAACAATGTGTTGACTCACCCTTGTTTCCAGAGCTGGAACACATCAATATAACATAACGAAACCAATCATCAGAAACAGGAGACGATCACACTCTAACACTCTACTAACACCCACACTTCAACAATCACACTCTCCTAAATTACCTGACCTGTAAGCTGCCCTTACTCTTCAACTTCCTTCCATGTCTTTAACATTCTCAGTCTCCCTCTCTCATTTGCTTGCTTTTTCTCACACGTGTACACCGTCTTTTGCATTCTCAGCACCTTCACATACAGTCTTGTGGCATCTCTCCACCTCTCACTCTTAGACTCATTCTTCCACTGTCACCCACTATTTAACTATTTTTCTCTGCTGAAACAATCCATTTGGACCCATGTTCCCTGTTCCAGTCCAGTACACAGATCTAGATCCAGATCATGTAGGAACCAGGGTCACTTTAAGGTCGTTCCTTCCTTAAGCCATACTTAGACCTGTCAAACAAATCGCCCACAACTCCCATTAAATTAGTCGGAATAAATTTCACAAGCTTCCGTGTAACGGCTCAGATAATTGTGGACCCAGGCGGACGGTCGGTTTGTTTTGTCAGAACAAACTGTCTGTGTCCATGAGCATCAGCATCTAGGTTAATGGAGTCGGTGAGGAGCCATGGTGCAGCAGGCACAGCTGTGGCCTCTGAAATAACTCAGCGTGTGTGAATATTTGTGTCTGGATGTAGGCAAGTGTCCTGCTGTGGTCATATAACCATCACTGCCTCCTGTCTGTTCCCCAGGGAACAGTTCAGCTTTTACAATTACAGACAAGCTGCACGGTAAAAGACAGAACAGAAGCTCACGCTCCATGGAAGGACATTACTATCTGGGTACCCTGCAGGTCAAAAAATTAGCACTCATATAATAATGATTCTTAAGGAAGAGAAAAAACAAAAATCACGAGGCAAGACCATTTTTAAACCTCAGGAGAGGGGTTGCTTTTCTAAAGTGCAGTTCTGGCCGACTGGAAACAACATAATAACTTGTCCTCACTGTATAAAGAAATCATTCTACAGCATAAACATCTGTTTAAGTTGTCCTCACTGTATAAAGAAATCCTTCTACAGCATAAACATCTGTTTAAGTTACTATAGTTTGTAGACATCTTTGCTCTGTGATTACTAACATAAAATTCCTGCTTACTTTTAAATGACTAAATCCCTGTTATGCTTTTTGTCCTCACAGGCAGCCATGTTTGGACTGAAGATGACCTTTCATGTCTTAGACTGGTTCTTTCATTCTTTCTCACATATTCCTCAAAAGAAAACGATACAACATAAAGCCAGTGCCTGAGTAAGATTTTATTGCATTTTATTGATTTTTATGTTTTTGCCGTTTGGGAAGTGAAAACGCTGTGGCAATGCTGCTGTGTATTAAACAGGACTCAAAATTCAACTTCCTTTTATTTTGAAAACTTCCTCTAGCCTATTTTAAAAAAAAGAAATTGCGTGTCCATTGGTGTTTGAAATCGGGACATTTTTACAGTAATTTTTCGTCGCACACTGATACTCAAATAAAAGCTTTTTTTTTCTTTTTTCTTTATGGCCCATTACAAAATGACCAGGCACCGGACCTTAAACCATTGTTTGGGAACCTCTGCCCTGTGGAACGCACAATAAAACCTAATGCTTGATTTAAAGAGAAAATGTTGTAAATATTTCAAATCAAATCTTGCTGATCAAAGTGAAAAAATAAATCTATCGAACACACGAGTTAACTTACCAGATCCTCAATGACTTCCTTAACTGCAGCAACCACCAGAATGAAGAGCAGCGGTACTAAGGTGGTCCAACGACCAGTTGGAGACACGTCTGGGATTTGCTGGAAAATAATACAAAAAACAAAAGAATATTAAATCAACTTGTTTTTGACAATGAATGATTTAACAATGAATGATGCATATAGCAAAACATATTAGTTGTTTAATAAATAGGCCTGGAAGAGAAAAAAAAAAGACTTTTAAAGTTACCATATTATTCTCAACTTTCTCCATCTACATGGAGTAGGAGTACATTACACACAAGCACTGTGTGATACAGCAAATCCTTCATTACTGCCAAGCCAGGGCCACGGCTCAAAGGAAACATGAAGAGCACGGATCTCTTCCTCATCTGCATGGATGTTTTATTCAAGGTCGTAGAATTGACAGTGCAGGTAATGAAGATTCACACCGGCTGATTTTCAAAGCAGCTCCTTCAAGGTCACCCATCCAAGATCTTTCACTGTCGTGGTCGGGAGTTTCAGTCGGTGCATTCATCCTTTCACTACTTGTTTCCTTGCTTACATCTTCAAGCTGAATCTAGACTGTGATATCTTACATGTGTGACTTACATCCACCTGTTCACATGAGCTACATTTTCACTGCGCAGTAACTGGACCTGGTCCTGTTTGCTGTTAAATTAATATGGTATGTATATAATCTATGTACGTAATTTGTTGTGTTGCCATTTTCCAAAATTATGCTACAGAGTTAGCTAACCCAAAGTCTTGAAATTGAAATTGGACTTTTAGCTTACTTAGTAAATGCAAAACAACATGAACCTCGGTGTATGACGCCCTCTACCTACAGCGTTTAATTTTTACGTTGCTATCTCCCAATAATTAGGTACTTATGTACAGTATGTGAGTTCCGACATGGCCAAAATGAATTTACCTGACGCCGTAGACAGGAACTTCTGTCTGTACAATTTATGTCCAACTTTACTGTTTGATCAAAACTGAACTAAAGAACAAAATGGCTGATTTCAGCTGGATATTAACCAAGAAAAGCCATTTGTTCTAATCCGTAGCTAGAGCAGAGAACTCAACAATCGGCTTCCCATCACACAGAGGCATCTTCACAGCATTAAATATGTACCACTGTATATGTTGAGCCTACAGGCAAATCTAGTTTCCTTTAAAATAGGCACACATACAGCAGTATTACATGTATTATTCATTACCAGGATATATATAAAACACAGTGGGTGTGTATATGTGTGTGTCTGAGAGAGAGAGCAGGAGAGAGCAGGCTCGTCTGTGAATATTAAATTACAGATACGACCTTTTGAGAAAAACGTCCAGGTCGGGAAAAAAAAAAAAAAAATCTACGCTGAATATTTCACAAATCAGTGCTACCAGCTTTACACATGGGCTGAAATTTGTCTTGAAAAATTTGAGTGAGACGAGAACAAAGGCGTGATTTTTCTGTGTTCAAAACAGTCATATAAATCGGTAAAAATCAGTCGTCTTACCTGCAGGAGTGCGATGAAGAGGAAGAAGGCATTGGCTGCTCTTCTGAACTGGGAGTAGAGGAACCGTGGAAGGAAGGTGAGGACATTATATTTAGCCGTGCTGAAAAGCAGAACCAGAGGGGAGATAGAGAGAGATAAGACAAAAACATAAATACAGTGATTAGCTCTAAAAACAGAATTTTTTTTTTATTGTGCACTACTGCGCAGGACAAGTTAGAGGAGTTTTGAATTCATTTTCAAGCTTTGTCTAGAGCACGGGTGTCAAACATATGGCTAGCGGGCCAAAAGAAGAGAGGAGGGAGGGGGAGAGAGAGAAACCAGTAGAAACTGTTATGATATCGAATGATACGGAGGGTAAAGGACCTAGTTGATGATGATGTAAAAAACTTTGCAGATGTGAAGAATGGTGGCTGTTCTGCAGTGGTGTAGGAGAGTGGGAGATGTTGGTTTGCTGATGCGGGCAGAGCCGCAGGTTCAGATTTACAGCAACACTAAAACCCGGTCAGAACAGCCACTTTAGGAGAAGATATACAGCAGTGGGCGCCATGAGTCAAACTGCCAGCAGTACTTCGCTCACTCACGTGTAGAGGAGCTGTCAAACAAATACAGGCAAATATGAGAAGTTTGGCCTACAACCTGCCTGAAGGAGCAAAGCATATGGAATTCAACCTTTGGTTCCTGATGCTTGCAGTAAAAAAAAAAAAAAAAGGACAACGGCTATGATAGCAAGCTACAAGCTACCATGATTACGCAAAAAAAAACCCACTCATTACTTAGTCCTACGTATCGATTTAAAACAACCAAGCAAACAGGAGAGCTGCAGAAACACTTAAACCTTTATCTGTCAACATCTCCATTAAGCCATCAGGTTTGACATTACAGTCTGTCAATGGAAACGTTTACTTTGGTTGGTCTGTCAAATGTAAACCGAGTTCCCGTCAATCCACAAATGCCAAGCAAACATCTTGGGTGTCCGTTGAGAAGTTTTCATAATACAACCACGCCTACCGACATTTCATAGTCATCTGTAACAAGCAGTCAAACAGTGCCTGTGTATTTGCGTGTCCTACAGTTGTGTTTCCAGCCCTCATGTAACGTCTTGTTTCAATGTAACACGTAATTATGGCCTTATCATTAACTGTTTCCTGTACATAGACAGACCTTATCACAGCTTCAGGTTTGAAAAAACAATTTTTTAATTTTTAGGTAACTCTAAGCTATTCATGGGCTAACATCATTACATCTTCTTAGCTAACTTAAAGTAATGCTGCTTAGTTTTAGCCATTGTAAGGATAACCTTTTACAACCTTAGATTTGGCTACTTCCTATGTAATTATGATGTGGCAATTCTTTAGCTATTTATTTTAGGTTTCTTAGCTATTAGCTAAAAAGTTTTGGAATTTCTGGGACACAATAGTGTTTTAATAATTAATTTTATCAATTTTAGAAAAGGGTTATGGGAGCTATTTCCTGACGTCGTGTTTGACATCGCCTGTATTTCAGCCTGATCTGACCAGCGACTACTGGTACATTTTGCTTTCTGTGTAGGAAAACAAACTTAATCTCACAAAAAAAAAAACAACATCATCCAGCCAAACCCATACCCAGTTCAAAGAGGCAAACAATAAGTAAATGTAAGTGTGTCTGCAAATCTACACGCAAGTCAGCTGTATCATCTGACTTGCGTGTGTACACAACAGTCAAATGATTTGTAAGCTGCCAATATAACGGCAAGTAATCACATTTGCACAGCATCCATGTTTATCCACAACCACTGCAGCTGTGTAGACTTTATCCTAACCACCAAGGTTCTCTGCACAGACCTGGGATCTTTTAGCCATGACGTGTTCTGCAGATCTGTTGCTGAAGGGGGAAAAAAAAAATTGGATCACATAAAAGGAAGGCAGAGGTGAGCTCTCCCAGTAATTCCTGTAAGATTAGATTCAGCATTTATCATAGACCCGGCTCCTGTTAGTGTCTCCACAGGTCACTATGTGACGGGAACTGATTCTGCAGAACAAATGAGATCTTCGGGGGCAGCCAGCAGCCTCTGCCTTTGAGCTCTGCGGCAAATGTTTTGAGCACATTTAGGATTTAAAAAGACTACGAGGACAAATAAAAGAGGCGAGGCTTTTTCACAGTGCGGTCACACTTCACACCTGGTCTAAGACAGGGGTCCCCAACTACCCGTCAGGGGTAAATAAACAAAAAATGTTGGACACATGACAGCCCATTGTTTTCTTCAGAAGTAGTAGCCGTTAGCTTTTCAACATTTTACGCGAGATAAAGTTTCAGTTACTTTAAGAAAATGTTTGCAATTTTCATTTTCTTGGAAGATTTTATGTTTCCCCATTTTCACCCCTCTTGGTTTGGTGCAGCCAGCGAGGTATGTTTATTTACGTTGAATTGTGTTGCGAACACATTGGTTTTCATTCAATGTTTATGATGTTTATGATGTTTATGTGTATAATTGTGTACTTGTTGTGTGCTTTGCTTAGTTTGACGTTGGATTTAACGCCGATTAGCACCAACGAATAAATCTATTAGTAAAAGAAGAACTTCAGCATGGTGAATTTCCTGAAGTCAGTGACACAAAGTTTATAATACATACAAATGTTGAAACAATTATCTAAGGAAGAATGAAATACTTAGTAACTCCATCTCCGTTCCATCGTTTGTATGTTTGTTTCCTTTTTCTTCCTTTCTTAAACACACTGGCTGGTGCTGTCAAATCATATTTCAAACTTGGACAGACAATTAACCTCGGGCTGACATTTAGGCAGAAATAAATGCAAAGTTTATGGTGAGGTTCAGGTTAAAGTTCACAGCACTGAGAGTGTACTGAATGCCTTTGGGCCGCTTCAACCGAGTCAGGAGAAGATGCAGCTCACATGCAACAACACAGTCACACAAACACATCAACAGTTGCAGATAAATACTGTGAGTTTGTTTAAAGCTGTTATACCTCAAACAATAACAATATAGGTCTGAGTTGCCCAAAAAAAAAAAATCGTTAATGCTAATGCAATACTGCAACTCTTCTTGTCAAAGGGGGTTTTATGTAATGGCAGTGAAGTAAAGAAACCACTGTATGTAAAGTATGTGGAGAGGAATAAGGGTCGATTGTATTATTTCATTCAGAGTGACTGCTGTGACAGCGCAGAGAGGAGCTGGCATGTTGTGCCGTGTCGCAGTGAACGAAAAAACAAGACAAAACCCAACACACAGGTCAGTGTAGAAACTAATTCGAACAAGTTCGATATTTGTGACAGATTGAAGCTTTTCTTCAACACTTTACTTCACATACCTGACTCTGTTGGTGCAGAACTTTGTGAACTGGGGCTGGTTGAGGTATATGAGTCGGGCATCTTCCTGGTCAGCTAAGGACGTTTTCTCTGAAGTGTCCTCAGTCTTTTCGTATCCTGCAGAGTCAGAGAAAAGAAGTTGTGTAAGAAATTACTGAGTCAGCTTTGATCAAAAACAAAAGTGAAACCAGACAGTGTTTTGACAGGAACAAAGTTTGAGCGTTTCAAAACAGTGGGGAAAGGTTTGAGTCAGCAGGTTCTGCTGCCCTGCCAGGGGTTTTTAGTATACAGTATTTCATAGTAAATGGTTTGTATTATAATTTAGTGACAATCATCAAGTGTGCTTTCTGATAAACATCTCAGCTACTGGTCTGCTGCTTAGATAAATCCAACAAAAAAAAGAGCACTCAAGTGGCAAAATAACACACTTGAACTGCTGCTGCTTGGACTAGACACCCTGTGCGTACTGGTGTAGTTGTTGTTTACAGCCTGTGGTGTCGACGTATTCCAGAAACAACAGTTAACTTGTTCCTGGCCTTCAGAAAGGTCAATGTTATTGATTGTCAGATTGTTGTCTCTGGTTTCAGTGACAGTCAGTATCTGCATTTCAAACTGGTTCTGGTCACCACTCTAATCATGTGCCAGTGTTCATACGATCACACAACTTCAACTATCTCTACATTGCCAGATATGGAATCTGTACATGTATGTGACCAACACGAAAACTATCTATTGGAAAAAAAATCCTACATTTAAAAGATAAGTTTAGTGCTTTTATCCAATACATGTTTATCCAATTACTGCTGGGATGTGGACGTGTTTCCTAATTAAGCTGGGTAATTTCCTGGGAGGAATAACATCCTGTTTGTAACAGTGGACAGAACGGAATCTATTTTTATCATCACTTTCATCGGCAGCAGCAGCAGCATCAGCAAGGCATTTCATTTTAATGTATTGAAGAAAGACATACTTAACTTTGCCAGGATACTGTAAACCCCATACCTCATAAATATACAAGAGTGTCAAATTGTTTGCATGTGATCTTCCACTGCAGGACAGTGGCCTGGATGGTGGGGGTGTTAGGGTTTATGAGGTGAGGGGTGGGTGCAGCGTTGCTTCCATGACTGCAGTTAAATTCTAGAGTTTAAAAATGGCATGAAGGCTCATTCTGATGCACGGGGGGCCTGGAGGGGAGGGGGGGGGTCAAAGCTGCAGAAAACCAGCTGCTGCATGCAACATCAACAACGACAAACTGCAGTGTCACGGGATACTGTAACCAGAAACTCTTACGGACGACCTAGCCGCTCTTCTGGCCACTTCCTCCTGTCTACAGTGTTTCTCTCATTTCATGTTGAAAGTACAATCACACTCCCATGTCCTACTTTCTCAGCTCTCTCCCTATTCACCTCACTGCAATCTTCAAACCTTAAGATCTGGCAGAGAGCTACAAAGGAGGGGTTTTTCAAAACATCATCAAGCTTTTCCTCTTATAGCACATGTTGCCAATCCAAATTTAGTCTAAATTTAAAGCACCCCCTGTGGTGATCAGGTCACAGAGGGAAAACACCAGCTGGATTGCCTAGTCCTGTTACGCAAGGCATGAGTGTAGGTGGTTTATTGGATTATCTTAATGGCAAAAGGGTGAGTAGATCCCAGCAGCTGAAGAGGATTAAAGTATGGTGACGGGTGCATAAGCTGGGAAACACACAATGATGCCTGTCATTGTCACCTGTGACGTTTCACCAGGATCAAAACACTGCTGGTGGCTCCCCCCGTCCTCCCCCCCTTTTTTTATGTACCCAGTGAAACCTGGTTGTGGTGAAGATGATGACACAATTCTGATGTTGCTGTAGGTAACTGAGAACTGTCCACATCCCCTCACTGCAGTATAAAGCTTGTGTGAAATGCTAGGCCCGAGGAGCAGCAGCAGTGATTGATGTTGCTTCTGTGCGTTCATGAAAAGTGCTCGCAGCAGGAGAGACTTGATGCTGGAGTAGACCAGGTGCTGCAATGCACCAGTTGCAGTTTCTGCTGCTGAACTCGGCCCTGTGCCTCTCTCCGCCTGTGTATTTGACCAAGCTTTAACGTGACATTTGAAAAACAAGTGTGTTTTGGGCATACTGCTCTCCATCTAAGCACTTCATCTTTAATCCTGTTTTCAACTGCGAACTTCCTTTCCCCTCATTAATGATGGCTCTCATGAGTAGGAAATTAAAATTAATAGTAAAATGAAAACCTATGAAAGAAATATTTGATAGAAAAAAAAATGAACACTGAATCATTTTAAAAGGGTTGTTGTGGGTTCAACAACAATTAAGACACTCACATGCAAACCTTTCCGTAACTGTATCCAAATGTAAAATTAGCTCACAAGGCCACACGTCATGTGCAAACTCCCATTCAAAAGGCTGAAGGTGAAAACTGCAGGAGTTTCCATCATCAAAATAACCTCCAAGCTTCACCCCCCACCACCGAAGAATTTCAGGGATTTTCCTCCTTCCCCCGTATCCAGTTTCTTCCTGTTCTCTGATTCTAAAACACTGTGTGGATGATGTACTTATCCACTTCCTCAAACGTCTCCCTGGGAATTACTCTTAATGTTCCCTGGTGGACACTGGGCATTTTCCCTGCACTAATTTCATTAGCCACAGGCTGTCACAGCTCAGCTACTTTGACGTCCATAAAAAGAACAAGAGAGGAAAACTCTGTGGAAGATTGGTGTGAACACCACTCTTAATATGTGTTACAATCTGCTCTATAGCAATACATTTCATTTAATAATGGACCGGCTATGTTGCAGGAAATTTTTTTTAAAAAAGACCTGGGATGGGAAGACAGGAGCTAAACATGGCTCTGTGAAGAACATTAGCAGATGTAAAGTAGAAACCTCTGGAGGGAAGGATCAATGCCACAAGGTGTGGAAAAATGAGTTTGGGAGGCCTCCAAGTGGTAGGATTATTGCCTACGTCACCAAAAGAGGGAGACAGGTGGAACAATAGTCACATTGGGATGTGTATTTCGAAGGAAATACCCAGTGGAAAAACTCAATCCAACACAACTTGGCACTGTCTGAGGAAGGTCTACCCCGTTGGACATTCTATACCCTTACTGAATGTTGCAGCTTTCAGGAACAAATTCATACAACTGGACATACAATCTTAAACACAGGAATTCCTAACCATGGTTATCATTTTTATCTTTTAAAGATTTTTATGAATGTTTAGCTTTTTGCTATAATTTCAGCTAACTTCCAGCTCCTTCGTGGTCATTTTTCTCTAGGACCTTGGTAAATTGTGAAAATTTATGACATTTCCCATTACTTAATAATATGAAAAGTAGGCTAGTTTAGCTTAGGTGTTCTGTGGCGTCGAATGTCAGGCCCGTGGGCCAAAACCAGCTTACTGGGGGGTCAATCCGTCCCGTGTGATAATTTTAAAAGTAAAGTTTAAAAAAAAAAGAAAAAAAAAAGCACAAACACGCCATAGTCATGTTTAGGGGATCAATCCATCCCGTGATTTAAAAGTAAAAAAAAAAAAAATTCACAAATTCTACTTCTTTGCATGGAAACTAAGGGGAAAACATGGACTTATTGTTATTTATAAGTAATTATGTTATGATTCTACACGTCCGACCCATTTGACATCTGATCAGGTTGTATGTGGTCTCTGAACCAAAATTAGTTTGACATCCCTGATCTAGATGAATGAGAACCATCACTCACTGACTGGACCCTCAATGTCTTTTCAACACTCAATATACACACAGTTTAAACACCGGTATATACTGTATGAAGATAAAAGAAAAAAAACTGAAAAAGGTCAAAATCCACTGCAGATTTACAACACTGTAGTAAATGTTTGATCATTTCATTTCAGGCTGAGAGAATGGAATACTATTGGTGCCATGACTTTCTACACATCTCATGAGCAATGAAAGATAAGGACACTGATACTGGAGGATATAACCTAGCACATGACACAAGGGCTTAAATATAAAGTCCAAACAGACAGCTACTGCTGCACATCTGAGCCCCAAACAACATATTCCAAAAATATCATTGGTATTCCAATAAAAGAAACTGCACGAATCCAGGCGTTAACTAAAAATAGTCACCACGGTCAAGTTATTTTTAGACACAGCATCTTCTGTCTCCCATGTGACCTTAGGAAGGGTTGCATAGCAAATCATAAAAAGGTACCACGTCATCCGCTGGCATGCAAATTCACATATATTCAGGGTCAGCAGCAGCACTTGAGTTTTCTGTGGTTTAATGTTAACATTTATCTGCCTTCATGAGTTTGAAGAATAAGCCATTTTAAAAAAAAAGACTCCATTATTCATATACTGTATGTTAAGTTTAAAGGATGAACATGACAATTCAAACCTCTGAAAAGAAGACATCTCAAAACATTATTTGTCACAGACTTACATACAATCGAGGTAATTTCCAGCACCAGCAGAGTATCTGTGGCGCTCTCTTGATTTGTGAATATTTTTGTGTTGTTCTTTTAGAAGCCAAACTAGAATTAGAGATGCACGGTTCGACCGTCCTCTAATAGGAATCAACCAGATTTAGAGACAATTGGCAGCACATATTGGAGGTTTTGTCAGAGAACATGAAAGGGAAGCTCACACTTACAAGCAGGCGCTTATATGTAGTTAGCTTGAAAGTTGAAGCTTACTTTTCGTGATATACGGTATGTAACAGTAAGGTTAACTGTAGGGGAGCCACCAAGAAGTTGCTGAGAATGAAAAACTAAATAAGACACTTTAAACACGTCATTGAATTAAACATGCTGTGCCAAGGCAAGCAGGCAAACCGGTGTTTGATTGTTTTTTCAGACCCAGTATTTCTGAAGCTGTGTCAAGTCATTAACAAAGGTCTAAAAGGAAAATAACTCATCCATCTGGTGACATATGCTTTTGTTTTTCAAAACGTCTTGACATTAATGCTCAAGATAAAGCGAGCCCCTTCATACGTTCCCCTTCGTACAATCCTCTCGTTATCTATTGTTGTAATTATTGGATATTTCACACAATGACAAGGAGAAAGGCTGAGTGCAATTTGTGGGAAATGTGTCAAAATTATTAGTCGAGTAGAGAATGAACATTTTGCA